AAATCACTCACAAGTTCCTTGATAATCGTGAAGACCACTAAGGAGTGACTTGAAGTTGTGGAGGGACGGGAATGATTAAGCATAATTGAAGAAAATAAACTGACACAAAGATTCTATGTTTTCTTTATTTAGTTCTCCTTTATATATGCAAGGGGACCTTAACCATTTTAATATATTGTTATGATATCCTTATTTAAGATAATTTGCTTTCACAAAAAATATTGTGATGCAATGAAATGATTCCAGTATGGGTTAGTGCCTTTTAACGAATTGAAGGATATTTTTTAAGATTGTCAGGATAATATCGTAAACAGCAATAAGTTTGAACTTCCTTTTATTCTAACTTAGTTTCTGCCATTAAGTTTAATATTCTTTAGTTTGTGTTTTTAAATGACCAATATATACCCATACCCATAGAGTGGGGCAAAAAAGTATTTAGTCAGCCACCAATTGTGCAAGTTCTCCCACTTAAAAAGATGAGAGGCCTGTAATTTTCATCCTAGGTATACCTCAACTATGAGAGACAGAATGAGAAAAAAAATCCAGAAAATCACATTCTCTGAATTTTAAATAATTTATTTGCAAATTATGGTGGAAAATAAGTATTTGGTCAATAACAAAAGTTCATCTCAATACTTTGTTATATACCCTTTGTTGGCAATGACAGAGGTCAAATGTTTTCTGTAAGTCTTCACAAGGTTTTCACACACTGTTGCTGGTATTTTGGCCCATTCCTCCATGCAGATCTCCTCTAGAGCAGTGATGTTTTGGGGCTGTCGCTGGGCAACACGGACTTTCAAACTCCCTCCAAAGATTTTCTATGGGCTTGAGATCTGGAGACTGGCTAGGCCACTCCAGGACCTTGAAATGCTTCTTACGAAGCCACTCCTTCGTTGCCCGGGCGGTGTGTTTGGGATCATTGTCATGCTGAAAGACCCAGCCACGTTTCATCTTCAATGCCCTTGCTGATGGAAGGAGGTTGTCACTCAAAATCTCACGATACATGGCCCCATTCATTCTTCCCTTTACACGGATCAGTCGTCCTGGTCCCTTTGCAGAAAAACAGCCCCAAAGCATGATGTTTCCACCCCCATGTTTCACAGTAGGTATGGTGTTCTTTGGATGCAACTCAGCATTCTTTCTCCTCCAAACACGTCTAGTTGAGTTTTTACCACAAAGTTCTATTTTGGTTTCATCTGACCATATGACATTCTCCCAATCCTCTTCTGGATCATCTAAATGCTCTCTAGCAAACTTCAGACGGGCCTGGACATGTACTGGCTTAAGCAGGGGGACACGTCTGGCACTGCAGGATTTGAGTCCCTGGCGGCGTAGTGTGTTACTGATGGTAGCCTTTGTTACTTTGGTCCCAGCTCTCTGCAGGTCATTGACTAGGTCCCCCCGTGTGGTTCTGGGATTTTTGCTCACCGTTCTTGTGATCATTTTGACCCCACGGGGTGAGATCTTGCATGGAGCCCCAGATCGAGGGAGATTATCAGTGGTCTTGTATGTCTTCCATTTTCTAATAATTGCTCCCACAGTTGATTTCTTCACACCAAGCTGCTTACCTATTGCAGACTCAGTCTTCCCAGCCTGGTGCAGGTCTACAATTTTGTTTCTGGTGTCCTTTGACAGCTCTTTGGTCTTGGCCATAGTGGAGTTTGGAGTGTGACTGTTTGAGGTTGTGGACAGGTGTCTTTTATACTGATAACGAGTTCAAACAAGTGCGTTGTGAGTTAACGAGTGGAGGACAGAGGGGGCTCTTAAAGAAGAAGTTACAGGTCTGTGAGAGGCAGAAATCTTGTTTGTTTGTAGGTGACCAAATACTTATTTTACCGAGGAATTGACCAATGAATTCATTAAAAATCCTATAATGTGATTTCCTGGATTCTTTCCCCCCATTCTGTCTCTCATAGTTGAAATGTACCTAGGATGAAAATTACAGGCCTCTCTCATCTTTTTAAGTGGGAGACCTTGCACAATTGGTGGCTGACTAAATACTTTTTTGCCCCACTGTATATAGTTGCTTGATAGCCATAGAAATGCATAGCACCATGTCTCACCCCTGATTCTGCCCTGCTGCTGCAGTACGCGGACCCTGTGTCGGACCTGCTGGATAAGTGGGGGGCGTTCAGGTACCGTCTGTTCCGGGAGTCCTGTGTATTCCACAAAGGGAACTACGTGAAGGACCTGAGCCGTATAGGGAGAGACCTCAACAAGGTCATCATCATCGATAACTCCCCTGCCTCCTACGTCTTCCATCCCGACAACGCAGTATGCTATTTCTATTTATTTCTCTATATTACGCTATACCTATTTGTTGTTCACTAAAATCTTTTGGGGAAAATGACCATTTGTATATCAATTACTCACCACAAGTTCACTCAATTCTTTAAGAAAGTTTTACACAAGAAATGTTGATCAATTTAAGAAAATGGGGGCTGCTTTTTTAACAAAAGCAAACATATATTACAACAACCATTTACAAATGCTCACACAACTGTTTGAGCTTTTTGCAACTACTATATGATTTTTTGAATATTTATAGTTTAATTTATATTTATTATCATTAATCATTGTTAATAATTAGATTAGCAGACAGAGAACCGTGGCAGGTTGGTGCCCCGTGTGAGGCCTCACACGACACCACTCTAGGAACAGATAGTGCAAGCAGCATGAAAGCGGTTGATATAATATGCTCTGAAAAAAAGGAAATATATATATATATTATTCTCTGTTTAGCACACATTATACAGAGGGGGATCACAGCGGCTCTCAGTGACAGTAGCTTTGTTGATGCTTTAGCGAAGTGTCGGAAATCGTTTTCTCAATCAAACTTCATGCTAATGATTCAGAAATCAAGTCTGATTTCTCTCACCAGTTTGTCATGCATTTCTTCATATGTATATGTTATAACTCCCCCATTATACAACACATACTAGTATTTTAAACTTGTGATTAATCATGATTAATCACAGATTATTATTATTGTTATTACATTTTTTAAACAATTGACACCACTATTAATATATACGTATACTAAAAGATAGCACATAGCTCAAATAATTACGTAACACCTTCGGTGAGTAACTGATATTCAAATGATAATTTTGTGAGTTAATGATTACTTAACTACAGCAATAATATACGATTAACTTAAATACTATACTTTTGGAATATGTGATATTTTAAAAAGGTGTTTTAATTCCTCAATACCCTACCTTTTCCATCCTCCAGGTTCCCGTTGTGTCCTGGTTTGACGACATGTCAGACACCGAGCTCCTCGATCTGATCCCCTTCTTTGAGAGACTTAGCAAAGTGGAAGACGTCTATGAAGTCCTCCAGCAGCAGAGTGCTTCCAGTTAACAGAGGCAGGACAATAGGATAAATATTATCACCAGCAGCTGTTGTCAGGGGCCACGGAGGCTGGGGGGCCACCGGCTCCATGCTGCTTCCAACTACAAGGACCACACTGCAAAAAACGCCTCTCATTTAATCCCGTATTCTTACAGTATATCGCATAAAAAAGTGAAGGCAATCTTCCAGCAGGGGTTTGATACTTCTGTATTGAAAGTACGCTAATCCAAAGATTCCTTCCTTTTTCTGTGATAAAGACTGAGTATGAGGCTGAATGACTTGTGTAGGTGTATTGCAGTGCAGCTAGTGTGTTGCTGTTGTCGTGATGTGACAGCAGCGACATGTGTTAGTGTGCTGTAGATTTTGTGAGCAGTTGTTCAGTGCCATTCTACAAACCAACCATCCTTTTCATTTCAGTATCGCATCTAATAGTATTTCAAATAAGTCCTTGAAGACTGTTGCTTAAACCCCAATAACTTCCTTTTTTCTTCTGCCTAACAGGTCGAATTTGTATGTAGTAAAAGACAATCGTTAACTTTAGGGATTCTTGGTAATTTCTATAAAATGTTGTGGCACATTTCACTACATAACAAGTTTTTAAATGTGCTTTAAATACTTTGCACTTCCTGTATGTATGTGGTGGGATAATATTGGTCCAACGTTGCAAAGTGAAGCGTTGTTGACAAAAAAAACTTTGACTCAATAATCTCAGAGAATACTCAAGTGCTTTTTTTCATAAATCTTGTGGGTTTTAAAAAAAAATTAATACCCGTTTTTTTATCTAAAATGACAGAGTTTTATCTCTGAATATAACCCCAGCTCTGTACTATTTTATTATTTATTTATTCACTTATAGTGGCCTTAACACACAGTCATAGTTTTCATTTAGAATCTTTCTCAAAAAATATACTACAGCGTTTGCCTTTAAATGGTGAATAAATGGAATCCATAGCAACTACATGTTACATGACTGATACGGTTTATTTAGTCAATTCTTATATTACTGGCGTCTAATTATTAATGTGTATTAACCCTTTGATATGTTGTCTTGAGCATCATACTTGAAAAAAGCAGATTTTTGGAAAGTTCTGGAAAACCTTGGAAAGCTCCCCACTCCCAAAATGGTGATATTATTTTTGTATATAAAGTGCAAATATCTGGATTTTAAGCAATCATTTAAATTCGTTTTTAAGGTTATTTTACCTAATGTTATATTCTTTTTTTATTAAGTTTTTGGAATACACCTCCTCAGTGTGCGGCCCATCAACAATGCAATCCAATATGTGCAGTTAGGAGGTTTATTTGAAACTTTTTCATGCAAGACATAAATAAGTTTGATTCTTTTAGCCTTATCGAGCTATAAATACAGTTTCAGATGGAAACTCGTGTCGGACATGTTGGATCTGTCCTGATTTACTTTCCCTCAGTCTGGAGCGAGTGTGTGTGGATTTGAGTGTGGCTGCGTCAGTGTTTACACAAAAAAAAGATGATTCGACATGAAAAAAAACATAACCTGCCTTTAAATAATGATTTAACTTTGTTACTGTATGCAACAAGAGTATTAACGTTGTGACTCGAGTAAAGGAGAGTTTTGAAATTGCTGCTGATCGTTGTTAGGATTGACAAAAAAGGACAAGTTGAGATATTTTTACCTTGCATCAATAAAGCATGTTTTATTGAAACAGGTCATATTTCACTACAGTAGTTTTTTTTCTCTCACATCTCAAACACAACATGGCGGAGGTGGAAACAAGGCAAATGGAATATGGAACACATTTTATATGAAAACTATCATTCTTGGCTAAGTTGAAATATTATACCCACTCCATAATAAAACTAGCATTCCCTGATTATCAATCAAGTTTATCAAGTAATTTTCTGATCTATTTCTCTTCTAAATTACCTGATTTTTGGCCCAATGTATTTACATTACAAGCCCTTTGCTGCAAGACATCATTCTCTTCATTCGAACTTTTCATCAAAACATTAAAAAACGATTTCTATACAATGTATAAACGATGAAAGATATTTTGTATTTAATCGATCCTATGGGAGAGGATTAGGACAACATGACATTTATTTTTCTCACAAAAAGTTTAAAAAAAAATTGAATTCGAAGGAAAAAGTCAGAATTCTGAGTAAAACGTGACAATTCTGGGATCAAGGTCAGAACTCTGACTTAAATCTCAGAACTCAAAGAAAATGTAAACTTTTTGTCATATTTCAAAATGGTTGAAACATGTGGCCCTAATCCTCTTCCGTATTCTGATGATATGATGATGATATGAATACATGGCTGTAATATACTAACTTTTTATTTTCTTTGTTGTAATACTGAAGACTTCAAATCTAGGTCACTGTCAAAACAGCCACACAACACCATTGAAATATAATCTGGTACACACTGAGTGCAGATCAGAATATATTTTATAATAAACTAAGGTTCTAAATATTTGTCAATGGACCAAAATAGCTTCTGGAGCAAAACAAGTTAATTAAAAAATTGTAAATATCTTAAAATTCAAGGACCACATGCACATTAAGTGTGTAATTCTACAATTTTAGATATTTAATAAAAACTATCTAGAACTCTTCACTTAGAATATCCATCCTTCCATTTATTCTAACAATATATATATTACAATTATATATTTTTCAGCAAAACAACACAGATGAAACCTCTATAACATGGGACAATATTTACATCCAAACTTTCTATTATGATAACGGCATTGCTTCAAATACATTCACACTTTACTATGACGACTTTTATATGAACAGTCATAAAGACGACTATAACATTAACTGAAAACTTCATGAAAATCCATCACAACCCTGTTTAAACCACTTGTATAGACATACTGTTGTTAAATATATAAGTAAATGTCAATGTTACAATGTTAAAAGCCTTTCATAATATTCAGTCCATGTCAATAAAGTGATGAAAGATTGAAGAAGTCACTCATGGCTCACCTGGGAAATGTAAAAAGAGACACATGTTAGACTGAGGAGCAGAGAACCTTTCTTTGAATTCACCTCATACCTTTAAAAATGATTTATTAAAAACTGGATTTTTTTTTACGTAATCCCGATTATTAGAATCTCTTTTTTGGAAGGTCACCAGTTCAAGTCCCGGCAAGACCAAGTGCTACGAGGTGTCCCTGAGCAAGGCACCGTTCCCTACACTGCTCCCCGGGCTCCGTACATAACGGCAGCCCACTGCTCCTAACACTAGGATGGGTCAAACGCAGAGAAACCGTTTCGTTACATAGTACCTGTACTACGTAATGACAATAAAAGTAAAGAAAAGAGAAAAGCATAACATAATGCCTCATCTGCATATCAAGCATAATATTTCACAAAATGTGGAAAACAAAAATAAAGAATGTGTGGGTTTTTACTCTATTCACCTAGGTCAACAACGTTTATAGTACCATTTATATGACATGTTATTCTTAAAAACATGTCATTTTTTTTATTTACGGCTGTTTACGTTTACGATTGTTTTTTGGAGTGATACAAAGACATATCCGAACGTATTATGTCATAACATTGAAACTTAAACCGGTTTTATCTAAATTATCACATTTGTACATTTAAACATAGCTTCTCTGAAACATGTTATGCAAAAAAAATATTGTCTTGATGTAAGTTATTTAATTGTAAAAATCTAGTTAAAAATGACCCTACTCTCATTACATGTTACTTGTTAGACGCTTTTATCCAAAGCGACTTACATACTCAATACTGTGGGCAATCCCCACAGGAGCAATTTGGGGTGAAGTGTCTCAGGGACACAACGACATGCTGACTGCAGTGGGGTTTGAACCTGTGCTCCCCCGATCCGAACACCAACGCACTAGTCCACTGCGCCACACGCCTCTCATAGTGCAGCACTCATTTTCACCCTCTGTCTGAAACCAGAGCACAGTCTGCTCTGATTGGTTAGCTGGTTTGCTCTGTTGTGATTGGTCAACCGCTGAGAAATGTCCTGCCTCCTATCACATACAATGTGTTGGAGGTCTAGACAATAGAAGCGCAAGTGTTTGTGGGAGAGAAACGCCCAGAGGGATTTTGGCCTTTGCAGACCATTTACATGCACTAAAACTTAACAGCCCACAGGAAAGGGAAAACCCCAAAAAGCATAATAAGGCCTCTTACCTAACCGTACCTAACCTTATCTAACCTCAGGGCAGTACTTGAGTAAACAGACTTAGTTATTTTCCCCCTCTGCCGACAATTATATTTGAGAGGTTTTAATTTCTTTAGGATTTCCTGAGCGTGAGTCCTACTACACAACAGGTTTACAACCTAAGCCAGATGGTGGAACATGATACTCTTTCATTAAAAGCCAACATTATAAAACTAAAAATAGTTGACTGTCCTCCACTTTTAATGTCTGGAGAAGTTTCTGGGATGCGCTCTGTGACCTGCATGCCTGCACATTCAGTCGGACCATAAACACCCTATATTATTTACAGAACTCTAGGAGCCAACACATGTATTAGTGCATGTGCAGTGCCAAGTCATGCAACACACTTTAACAAGCCACCCTGACACTTTCAAATCAGTCTGATGGATTTATGGTGGATTCTTTTTTTTGGTGCTTTGAATGCAGATATAGCGTTTTATTTGAAGAGTTTAGCATTTGGTTTCACTTTCCACAACACTAATATCTAAAAACATAATATTATAAACATACTAAATGATGCTATGTAATCGTCTTGTAGCACTGGTTAGTTAAAGTGATTCATAACAAAAAGGGGTCCCCCGATTGCCTATATTCCCCATAATGCAACACAGTTAATTGTAGCTAAGCTCACAGCTGCCTTTTACTAACATACTCTACTGAGTTGTGCCAAGTTGGAGTCCCCAATTTATTTTAGGCCAGATGAACAAAAACAATAATTGTACCTTTTATTTATTGTTGTTCTTGAATAGATTCAATTGTGTTTATTTCATTTTTATTTTTTACAAAGAAATGAACACATAGAGTAACTCATAACACTAAAAAGCATTATGATTTTTTAATTATTAAATTACATTTTGCATTATAATTATAAATTATAATGCAAAATGAATGCACAATTTACTCTTGGTGGTCATTGTGTGCTTTAAAGTGGACCTATTATGCTATATTGGACAAATATATTGTAGGGCCATACCTATACAAAACATGTCTGTGAAGTTTTTTGCTTAAAATACCAAACAGTTCACCCATTGTAGCCATGCCTCATACTGCTCATACCCCTCTATTGCAGCCCTGTTAGAGAAACGCGGATTTTGGGTTCTTAGCTTGAACAATTAAAAAGAGGAGGCGGAGCTAATGTCTGATCAGAATTCTACCGGAGATAAAGTTAAATTCTGCTGTGATAAAACGCCACCCTGTTCTAAACCACATCAAGGATTATTTCTGAAACAGTATGGAGCTCAAATGCTTTTTCTCTTGCAGGTTTATCACAAGGTGAGTTCTTTTTTTATTTCCTGCTTTTTAAACACACATGCTCTCCAGTACAGGTTAGCTCTGAGTGTTAGCGAGGATTGCTAATGTAAACAAAGACGAGATTACGTCCAAAACATGTCAGGCATTGTTTCTGATAGCAACTTTCTGTGGGTCCGCTGCCGATTTGACGTCATATCGGCAGCAAATCTGTATCCTCTCGTTGTACCCCCGATTTTAAAAGATTTGGGTACGGAGGAAAAGAGAGAGGGTTTATTTTCTGATGCTACGTGAGTTCCCCGACGCACCGGGGACACATATTTATGTATAAAAGACATCACAAAGTGCATTTTGCATGATAGGTCCCCTTTAAGTAAGTAATTTGGTAAATGATAATAAAATAAATCTATGCATGAACAACTCCCAACATGTTGCAAAACTAATTTATTTATTTAACAACAGAACTTGAGCACACTCATTTAACTTTAATGGATTATTAATTTAATTTTGATTATCAAAAACATTACAATGGACATTAACATTTCAATAATGTAATGCTTTCTCAAGAAAACGAATTGTTTCCTGTATGGTTAGAAAGGGATTGAAGAGCATAATATAATGCATATGTTTATAAGTCATTATAGACATGGGCCTCGTGGAAAGATATAACATTATGTTTCATAACCCGCAGTGATGCGCGTGCACTGCTTGTGATGTGTCTGCAGGCAAACAGCAAACTCAAGTCTTTGTCACTAGCTCCATCTAGTGGTTGTTATTTTGAATGGTATCAGTGCTGGACAGAAGTCAGACTTGGTACTTCGGCAGAGGTGTGAAGTAACTAAGTATATTTACTCAAGTATTGTGCTAAATCTGCACGTTTGGTTCTTTAAGTATATATTTAGATGCTAATACTTTTGTACCTTTACTTGAGTAACCTTTTGAATGCAGGACTTTCACTTGTAACAGAGTATTCTTACACTCTGGTTCTTCTACTTTTACTCCAAAAATCTGATACAAGACACATGTTTACATGTTTTACCGAAGTAAAGTTAAAAAGGTAATGGCATCACAATGTACTTTAACAGATGAAACAAGTGAAATAATTAATACTCATTATGCAGAGTGTTCTTTATTTATTTGCATTTTAACATAACCTACCATTTTCAACAGAATAACTTTCCTGTTTAGTAACATTAGTCTTACTTGAGTATTACTACTATGAAATAGTAGGGTGATATTGCCGAATCTTGTGACATTTTGTCATTTTAAAATGGTAGGTGCATGCTGTACATTCCAATACCCACACAACCAAAATGTTCATTATGCCAGATAAATATTTAGCATGTCCCAATACATATGTCCAATGCAGTATCCCAAAATGTCCTACTGCCCTCGATCGCATTTCGCAGTATGCTGCTGGCAAACCTTTGTGTCTATTCATGTATGGATTGAGTCTGACTTCAATCTTTGGTATTGAATCAATGACAGTAGCATATTACTACTGACAGCTCTGACATTGAGATGTACATTATGGTATGTACTTTGGTTTGGAATTGCTTATTTTACTTAATTCAAGATTGCTACAGAACTACTACTAACATAATTTGAATAGGTTAGTTAGGAAAGCAATAGTAAACCTATTATTTAAACTTAATATTATTGCTTTCAACTAACCTAATACACATATGTGTCATTTTACATAATACATTTATTTAAGTCAACATTTCAGTTTATTTTCAGTGTAATTGCACTCCTATTTAGAGATGTACTTTTACATGTTTGAAAGCCAGTTTAGACGGTTTTGAATGTGCACGGCTCAAATGTACTTGTCTCATGCAGGTCTACTGTATCCAGCCAATACAATTGCCAAACCTGAAGTATATGCATGGAATAGAGTTGATTTCCATACTTCCATGCTCAAAAAGTCGTTTTTATATAAAAGGTAATGTTATAAACAAAACACTCTGCTGCTGCTGTGTGGAAGCATACTGGAATCAGATTTGATCACGTAATCCCGCAAAAAGAATGGCTTGGTGACACACATAGCCACCCAGTACAATCTAGTTATTGAACACATTGAGCAGAACACATCTCCTTTGCACATATTCAACAGTATTAGGCTGTTGGAGTTGCAAGACTTCAAGAAGACTGCGTATAAATATCCTGTCCCCAAAAGGTATAATAGCTACAAACAACCATTATGGTTGGTGTTTCCAGAGGAGCTAGGGAACCACATCTAAATCATAGCAGCAGAATCACATGCTGAAAAACCCAACCTCAAAACCCGGTGTCAAGATCACCAACCCAGTCTCACAAAAAAACGTGTAATAGCTACGTTGGTCGACAGGGCTAAACGTAGTATATTCACAAGTAACCCTCTCAAGACGTGACATGGATACAATATGTTTTCCTATTCATTTCTAATGACCAGTGTCCCAACTCGTTCACTAGTACCAGAAAGTTAGTCTCTAGCTGCTAGCCTCAAGCAAAGTTGAGGAGGGGGCTCTCTAACTCAACACACGCAGATGTTGTCCTTCTTAAATCTTGCACTCTTCAGCCCCAATTCAAAAAGAAAAACTTGCTCTTCTTCTACAATGATTACTATGTTAGAGTTATGGCAAAGCTATTTCTGCTCGAGAAACAGTTGCTGAAAAGTTATATTCTGACATATGCTTTAATGCATGGAAAAACACTTTGATTAGCTTCCATATACACAATGAAGTTCCATTTCTAATCAACATTCTTTTTCATCAGGTTGAAGAAACAGTGTCCATGTAACCGCAGCTTGTGTGAGTTCATCAACGCAGAATCAAAGACAAGTTATAATGGTACAGGGAGCTGCAGCAGCAGAGGCTTTCCCCCTCTTCTATCCCTCGCAGTGGCGACTGGTCATTAGGGGCAGGTGGGGCACAGGGCAGGTGGGGCACTTTCTGCTGACCTAGTGTCAGCAGAAAGTATTAAAATAATAATTACAAAAAAAGTTAAAAAAATACATCTTAAAATATATTTTACGATCATGTATAATCATCTGATTCGTCTGTACATTGCTGTTTTCGTCTGTGTTCTTCAAATTAGTGTCTACAGTGTGCCTATTGAGCCGTTTTGAGCGACGTGGGTGAAGCCCCGATCTAGCCCCTCTCTCTCACTGTCTAAGTGAATGGGTGCTGTAAAAACGACACTGCGCATGCTCAGTCTTCTCAAAAAAAAAATCACCATGGGGCACTGAGCTGACATCATGGATGTATAATAAGAACTGGATACAGCGTGGGAGGCGGGGCCTCGTTCATTTCTATGAGAGTTGCTCATTGGCGCATGAAGACAAAATGGCCCAACTTTTAAGAGGGCGAAACGTCACGAAAGTATTCATATAATCATATAATCCGTTCTTATTGGGCATCCATGGGTAAAGGTAAAACTCATGTAGGCTAGTACTGAACACGTCACATGAACGTGCCGGGCCGCGCGGTCCCGTGGGTTGGATCCGCGTTCATAATGCCGAGGGAAATAACTCTCAGAATAACGTTATTAGCATATTATTACAACTTGAGGAACGAATATTTTTAACAAGTGTTCATACTGGGTAGTTTATTTAGTTTAAAAAAAAGTATCCAACGATTTACAGACGTGTCTTTCCCAATGTAAGTCAATGGGAAAAAGTGTTTCCGGGCCCAGTGACTGATACGGAAGTGTAGTATCGCCGTGTGGCCACAACAAATATATTCCTCAGAGTCCGAAGAAGGCTTTGCTGATTGCTGCACCGATAGAGTGGGAGTGGAGAGGATGGGATGGCCCCCTGCAGTCCTGATCTCAACCCCATTGAACCCCATTTTGGGATCAACTTGGGCTGCTGTCAGAGTGACCAACACAACCACGTTGGCTGAGCTGGGACAAATGCTGGTTGAAGAATGGGATGCCATCCCACAGCAGAGTGTGAGCAGGCTGGTGACAGCATGAGGAGGACAGGCTATTGTGGCTGTTTGGTTCTTCCACACGCTACTGAGGCTGCTTGTTAAAATAATCAATTGTTAAACAAACAACACCACACAAGAGTCAGCAGAGCTGTTTGGCATTGGCAGAGGAGATTTGTCACATTTTTCATGGGCGCACCCCGCATACTCAGCTCTGCTGCTCATCCCACACATGCTTGTTCCTCACAAATGTGGTTCCATTGAAAAGGTAAGAAAACAGGCTTTCCAAAGGTATAAGATTAAAACAAATCTTAACACGAAAAGCATTGTTACAACATAGAAATCATCTACACATTGCCTTACTTTTATGTTAAGTTTACAATCAAGTTTTCACAACACTCTTTTATGGACTTATGACAATTGAATGTCAAGTAAACTGTTGCAATAGAGAATTACCAACAGCAGGTTCTTCTGTTACTTACTGATCACCCGCAGCTGGGCTCTGCTCTTTGCTCTCCCGGAGGTGAACTCCACCTCCCCCCCCATGCTGGGGGAGGTGTGTGTGAGGGTCAGCCTGTGCACCGTGCCCATCTGCTCCAGCAGGACCTGAGCGCTGGGCAGCAGTGGCTCCCCGTTCAGAGTCCACAGCGGAGCTTTGAGGACGGGGACGGAGACCTCACACTCAAAGCAGGCCTCCCCGGGGGTCTTCACCTCCACATCCTGCAGCTCTCGGACCAGCAGCTGTGGCTGGGCTGCTCAGGGGGAACACAGAGGAAGAGGTTAGGGAATTGTGAGTTTGGGGAGTTTGTCAGTCAGAAAGCTTTAGCATGTATTGTACTCAGTGGTGGTGATAGGTAGATATTTCCCAGGTCACATCTCAAATCAGAATCCGTTTTTTGGTTGTCTTTACAAAGGCTCTATTCTGCTTTTTGGGGTTTTACTTTCCTGACGTGTCTTCCATAGGTTTTTGTGCATGTGATGGTCTGCAAAGGCTAAAACCCCCAAAGTTCCTCCAGAGGGAGTTTCTGTGTTCCACGCCCCCCCCCCCCCCAAGTCTGAAACACCTCCATTTGAGTCCTTTGTTTACTTCCGTGACATATGTACATATATGACTATGTAACCCTCGCGCTTCTATTGGCTAACTCTCTAATACATTTTGCGGGAAAGGCTAAGGGGCAGAACAACTCTAAGCAGTTGACCAATTACAACAGAGCCGGCCCGCTAACCAATCAGAGCAGACTGGGCTCTGGTTTCAGACAGAGGGTGAAAAGAGGTGCTGCAGCATGAGAAAAATAAAGAGCTTTTTGAACATTAAAGCATAGAGACATGTCACAGTAGAGACACTACATACTGATATACACCTGAACATTATAGTAATAGGGCCCCTTTAATTCTCATGATAAAGTCACTAACTTGGGGCTGTTTGAAATATCATACTAACATGGTGTTAAATAAAGCTCTGTTTGTAGTTCATTCCAAATGCAAAGTATGAGATGCCGGAAACTACATTCAAAAATAATTTCCAAGCATAACAAGTGCGCTTACTCGACAATCTCAACCGGCCCACAATGTATTGCGGCATTTCAGACTTTCCGATGTTGGAAGTTAAAATAATTGAATCAGCATTATAACGAATATTACTGCTGGGTATTTTAACTCCCCTCAATAGAGTAATATAAAATGTAGTGAGTGAGGGAACTTTGTGACAAACAATATTAATTTAGCAACTTTTACATTGTGATCGTTACAGTCATGCGATGCATAAAGACATGTTGCTGGAGTATCCATATTTAGTCGTTAAATGTAGTATGCAATGTGCTGTACATACAGATTGACTATGAAATATTCAGTACGTCTGTATGCCAACATATACTCTTAGTATGTACTGCAGCTGCCCTTTCAGTATAGTAAGTATGTACTGTTGCCTGTAGTATGCATAAATAAGGACATATTACCTTATCCTAACCTAACTTGGAGCCTTGAACTTTGACCTTCTTGCTTGTTGTTTTTTTCTGCACATTGGATTGTGGGTCAGAATAGGCAGGAAAGCATGCTAGCGACATACTGCAAAATGTGATAGGATGCAGGAAGACAGTCTGGTGTCTTTGGCTCACTGCATTTGTCATACTATGTATAGGGACATATTGCATATTTGTTGGCATATTTGATACTAGGGTAGTACAGTATGGGTATGGACACACAGGTCCTGTCTTACCTGGGCATATACAGCCTTTTTCACAGCATACACTTAAAATTGTCACAGTAGAAAAATTACTGTTTGAACTATTAACTTGGATCTGTTCTATTTAAGTTAAGTGACCCAGTCAGCCACGACAGTGTTAAATAGACCAGACATGCACCAAAACAGCCTTATATTTAATAATCTGATTTTAAATAATATTACCGTGTAATGTCATAATGTAATCATTTAGTTCACAAATAACTTATTTAATGCATTTATTTATGTGTTTATTTATTTATTTAACTTATTGCAATGGTGGTCCTCCATATGTGAGGTGATACCAACTATAAACAGCCATCTAAAATAAAATCAAGGATGATGCAAAAGGTCACTTTAAGTTCAATCAAGCCAAGGGTTAAATAATAATGGCAATGTGTAAAGGGGGGTACATTTTGTGTTGTCCCATTCCATGAGGCTATAATACATGTAGTAGCTTTGCTTTGCCAGGAGATGGAGCTCTGAGCTTATGTTCGATGATCCCCCCTCCCTCTGTTGTATTACCATGTACAACAGAGGGGTCTCTTGTGGCGCTTTTCCACTGCAGGGCCTCGCTCGGTTTAGTACGGTATGGCTAGGCCTCTCAGGCCTTGTTAGGCCAGGCTCACTTTATGCTGTGTTTCCATTACAGTTTAGGAACTGGGGTAGTATCTATAGCAGGGGTATTCAACTAAAATTCAACGAGGTCCAGTTAGAGAAAATCTCCCCATGCAAAGGTCCGGAAGTTGCTTTGTGAATTAGTGTGACATATATTGAAGTAGCCTGCAGCTTTATCAACGTCTGCATGTAATCAACAACTGACTGCCAATCAAATAAAGAAAGTACAATTCAAAAACAACAATATGTATTGTCAATCAACATTGAACTATACAGATATACAGTAAATACTGTGGATATGTGTAATGTTCCTCTCTGGCTGCATTTCAAAATAAAATAGAGAAAATAAATTAAATTAATTTTAGATAAATAAAATAAAGCGTAGCAGCAGCTTGAGTTTCCCTTTTTCTTTGTTAACCGTTTCACAGCATGACTTAACAGTTTCAGACGATTATAGAACAATATCAGTCTTTACACATCATAACAATTGAACAGTTTTAAAGTTTCTCTTTATTTCCCTCTTATATTGCAGTCCCTCTCTCACTTTGTGTTATTCAGTGCGAGAATTGAGCTGGAGCTTGTCCTGCCAGGAGTTTAAATCTGGGCTGAAATGGTGTCAGGGCCATTCTCATACACACATGTAGGTGCTCATTGGTTAGCCTCGGTTAGCCTGCCCTGGAACGATATTTAGTTTAATTTTGATCCTGGTCGACTGATTATATTGGGCTCTGAGACTGCTTATTTGACCTCAGTTCTGACTTTGTGTTTTGTCTCACAGTGGCGTTTTGGAACTTTTAATGAGCGCCACGGTCTCTGAACAAATGAGACACACTGGTTCTGTGCTCCCAGCAGGATGAACATGAATGAGTCCGTCCACTCAGGGTTAAAAGCTCTGTTCTCACTGTCCACTTTCCTCTTCTTGGAGAGCGCCATGTGCAATTATGTGTCTCTCCCTGTCTGCCGCTAACTCGCTTGTTCACTTTCCTCTCCGCTTCTCTCTGCCGCGCTCTCGTCTCTTCTTCTGTGTTTATCTCCCTGTATCGCTCACTCGTCTCTTTCGCCCCCTGTCGGCAGCGGTTAAAATAGAATCCCCCCGTCAAAATTGAAATCCCCTATTAATGTATTGATTATAGGTCCGGTTCCGTATAGTTCGGCGTCTGGGTCCGGATCCGGACCGCGGTTATGACACTAACCGCGGCATTTGTCAATAATACCTATACTGGGAAGTGGTGTAATGTAACTAAGTACATTTACTCAAGTACTGTACTTAAGTACCATTTGTAGGCCTACTTGTTCTTTACTAGAGTACTTCAATTTGTTTGTCTACTACTTTGGATTAATGATGTGAAAGTTAAGCAACACTTAAATCAGACTTTCGTTACACCTTGAGTAAGCTAGTAAACTAGCGGCACCTTTACCAGCTTTGATAATACTTTATCCATCAATAATTATAATCAAAACATATCATATTATTCTGAAATTGACCAATCTGCACAATGACTACTTTTACTTTTGGTACTTTAAGTATATTTAAATGTTTATAATGTTGTACTTTTACCTGAGTAACATTTTGATTGGAGAACTTTTACTTGTAACAGAGTATTCCTACACTCTGGTACTTCTACTTTTACTCAAGTACAAGATCTGAGTACCTCTCCCACCTCTGATACTGGGTATAAAACAAGAGCAGCAGTAATACATGTAATATCCTGCTAAACCTCTCTGAAGAACCAGCACCTTACCGTGGTAAAGAGGTTTTTTGTGCCCTGATGAACCTGGGGGCTGTGTTGTCTGGAACCTTGTGTTCCTGGTAGGGTCTCCCATGGCAAATTGGTCTCAGGCAAGGGGCCAGACTAAGATTGGTTCAAAAGACCTCATGAAAGAACAGCAAAGAAGTGAGGATACCTGGCCCGGAGGAAGCCCGGGGTCCCCTTCTGGAGCCAGGCCCAGAAGGAGGACTCGTCAGCGAGCGTCTGGTGGCCGGGCTTGCCACGGAGCCCGGCCGGGCCCAGCCCGAAAAGGCAACGTGGGCAACACCTCCGCTTCTCCGTCCCGCGGGCCCACCACCTACGGGAAACAGCGATGGTGTCGGGTGCGCTGCCAGAAGGGTGGCAGTGAAAGCAGAGGGTCTCGACGGACCAGACCCGGGCGACAGAAACTGGCTTTGGGGACGTGGAACGTCACCTCTCTGGGGGGGAAGGAGCCGGAGCTTGTGCGGGAGGTGGAGCGTTACCAGTTGGATCTGGTTGGGCTCACCTATACGCACAGCGTCGGCTCTGGAACCTTACTTCTGGATAGGGGTTGGACTCTATTCTTCTCTGGAGTTGCTCAAGGTGTGAGGCGCCGGGCGGGTGTGGGGATACTCACAAGTCCCCGGTTGGGTGCTTCGTTGTTGGAGTTTACTCCAGTGGACGAGAGGGTCGCCTCCCTACGCCTGCGGGTTATGGGGGGGAAAACTCTGACTGTTGTGTGTGCTTATGCACCCAACAGCAGTTCAGAGTATACGGCCTTCTTGGAGACCCTGGAAAGAGTCCTGTATGGGGCTCCTGAAGGGACTCTTTGATCTTGCTGGGAGACTTCAATGCACATGTGGGCAATGATGGAGACACTTGGAGCGGCGTGATTGGGAGGAACGGCCCCCCCTGATCTGAACCGGAGTGGTGGTTTGTTACTGGTCTTCTGTGCTAGTCATGGATTGGCCATAACAAACACCATGTTCGAACATAAGGATGCTCATAAGTGTACGTGGTACCAGAGCACCCTAGGCAGAAGGTCCATGATCGATTTCGTTATCGTATCATCGGACCTGAGGCCGTATGTTTTGGACACTCGGGTAAAGAGAGGGGCGGAGTTGTCAACTGATCACCATCTGGTGGTGAGTTGGGTCGAGTGGCGGGGGAAGCCTCTGGATAGACCTGGTAAGCCCAAGCGTGTAGTTCGGGTGAACTGGGAACATCTGGAGGAGGCCCAAGTTCAGGAGGCCTTCAACTCACACCTCCGGCGGAGCTTTTCGGGCATTCCTGTGGAGGTTGGGGACATTGAACCAGAGTGGTCGGTGTTCAAAGCCTATGTTTGAAGTGTTCCTCTATTGCCGAAGAGCTGTGGTCTCAAGGTCCTAGGTGCCTCAAGGGGCGGTAACCCTCGAACCTCCTGGTGGACACCGGTGGTCAGGGAAGCCGTCCGACTGAAGAAGGAGGCCTTCAGGGATTTGTTATCCCGGGGGACTCCCGAGGCAGTTTCAAGGTGCCGACGGGCCCGAAGGGCAGCATCCTCAGCCGTGGCCGAGGCAAAGCAGCGGGTGTGGGAGAAGTTCGGAGAAGACATGGAAAAGGACTTTCGGGCGGCACCAAAGTTGCCGTGACGCGGCGCAGCCGTCACGCGGCGCAGCCGTCACGCGGCGCAGCCGTCACGCGGCGCAGCCGTCACGCGGCGCAGCGGTTTTGGTCCGACCTCCTCTAACACCATAACCCACCGGACGCGTCCCAGAAGCGTTTCAGAAGCATAGCGTTGTGCGTGCAGGCTCGCAGTTTTGTTATTGATTCGGGCATCCTAGACATTTGTACTTCTACAAGAAAGTAAGTAGGCTACGTAGTTAAATGTTTTATTTTTGTGTCTGTTTAAATTGTGTTGATTGTTGTTATACATTTCCTATTTCGTTGTGTTGTAGTCTACAGACACAGTTAATAATAATTGTAATAGTCCACTTCCATAATGAAAACCTCGTCGTCCATTGTGCGTATCGTAGTGGAGGTGTTGTGATGAAGGAGGGGGGTCTGCTAAATTAGTATATGTGGGGGATGGGCCTGGCCCGGATGCTCACCTTTCACCTTCCTGCGAGGGGGGGCTGCCTGCCCGACCTTACGTTACGGCTGCACCGCAGCAAAGATGGAATTCATCCTAATTTTAGAGAAGCGCTGCGCCGAGCCGCTTCTGGGCCGCTTCTGGGCCGCTTCTGGGCCGCTTCTGGGCCGCTTCTGGGCCGCTTCTGGGACGCTTCTGGGACGCTTCTGGGACGCGTCTGAGCCGTAACACGGCGCGTGTGGTGGAATAGCACCCATTGACAAGAATGGCCGCGATCCCTACGACCACCGTGGCACAGCCGTAACGCGGCGCAGACGGACCCGGTGGAAACTGGGGGTAAGGATGGGACGTTGTTGACCTCAACTGATGGAGTGTTAGGACGTTGGAAGGAACACTTTGAGGAACTCCTGAACCAGACAACTCCGCCCTCTATGTTAGAGGCAGAGCTGGAGTATGACGGGGGATCAACACCAATCTCCCGGGGAGAGGTCACTGAGGTCGTCAAACAACTCCACAGTGGCAAAGCCCCGGGGGTGGATGAGATCCGCCCAGAAATGCTGAAGGCTCTGGGTGTTGAGGGACTGTCATGGTTGACACGTCTCATCAACGTTGCGTGGAAGTCGGAAACAGTACCGAAGGAGTGGCAGACCGGGGTGGTGGTTCCCCTTTTCAAAAAGGGGGATCAGAGGGTGTGCGTCGAAAGGAGCCAGTTGAGGTGGTTTGGGCACCTAGTAAGGATGCCACCTGGGCGCCTCCCTAGGGAGGTGTTCCAGGCACGTCCAGCTGGGAAGAGACCAAGGGGTAGACCTAGGACCAGGTGGAGGGATTATATCTCTTCGCTGGCCTGGGAGCGCCTTGGGATCCCCCAGTCAGAGCTGGTTGATGTGGCCAGGGAAAGGAAAGTTTGGGGCTCTCTGCTGGAACTGCTACCCCCGCGACCCGACCACGGATAAGCGGGAGAAGATGGATGGATGGATCCTGCTAAAAAGAGCACCTGGTACATTTGTATTTAAGATATCTATTGAAAGTCAGTTTGCCTATCTTTCCTTACTGCTTTGTGTTTATATCATAACATTAAAGTGAAATTATATTTCACTGTGAGACGGAAAAAAATAAACTTACTATAAATTTAAATTTAACAGTGCTTGAAATTGGTCATGGACTTCTTACCCTCCACTGTGAGTTTTGCAGAGCATGTATACTCTCCAACCTGCACACTGTATGTGCCCGCATCATCCAGCGCCACCTGCTGCATGATCAGTTTGCGGTAGCAGCCCTCGCTGCAGATCTCGAAGCGTTCAGAGGGCAGGATAACGTTGCTGCCTTTGTACCAGCGGATGCTACATCTGGGGTTGGACACGGTGCAGTCGAGCAGAACACGCGTCTTCTCCAGGGCGGTTGTATCCTCTAAAGGCTTCACAATGTTGACCGGAAGCTCTGCAATGGGAAACAATTATATTAAGACTGATCAATATAAACTTGATAGAAGACTTCAATTTTTCCTGATTTTTTTTTCGCAAAATAATAAACCTTTAAAAAGCAAAAAGGGAACATTTCAAAAAATACCACTTGTTCCAAATATGGATAACTTCCCTCCAAATAATTACTTGCCTATCTTAAAATAAACTTTGGGGACTTTCATAAGAAATAATGACCTACTTATTTCATCATTTTAAGAAAGCATATTTTTTCCTCATCACAACTCCAAGTTCATATCTTTCTTTTCTACTGGCAGAAACGGGCTTCCATATAGTATGTATCCACAGAAAAACTTTTTCCTGATTCAATCTACAAAACTGTGGGTAAAGCAAATTGAAAATTCTAATGAGCGTACTCATACCTCAATTACACTGAACAAAAATATAAATGCAACACTTTTGTTTTTGCTCCCATTTTTCATGAGATGAACTCAAAGATCTAAAACATTTTCTATATACACAAAATAACCATTTCTCTCAAATATTGTTCACAAATCTGAACAAATCTGTGATAGTGAGCACTTCTCCTTTGCCGAGATAATCCATCCCACCTCACAGGTGTGGCATATCAAGATGCTGATTAGACAGCATGATTGTTGCACAGGTGTGCCTTAGAATGGCCACAATAAAAGGCCACTCTAAAAATGTTCAGTTTTATCACACAGCACAATGCCACAGATGTCGCAAGTTTTGAGGGAGCGTGCAATTGGCATGCTGACAGCAGGAATGTCCACCAGAGCTGTTGCCCATTAATTGAATGTTCATTTCTCTACCATAAGCCATCTCCAAAGGCGTTTCAGAGAATTTGGCAGTACATCCAACCGGCCTCACAACCGCAGACCACGTGTAACCACACCAGCCCAGGACCTCCACATCCAGCATGTTCACCTCCAAGATCGTCTGAGACCAGCCACTCAGACAGCTGCTGCAACAATCGGTTTGCATATCCAAAGAATTGGCTTCGTTTGGGTGAGCGGTTTTCTGATATCAATGTTGTGAATCGAGTGGCCCATGGTGGTGGTGGGGTTATGGTATGGGCAGGCGTATGTTATGGACGACGAACACAGGTGCATTTTATTGATGGCATTGTGAATGCACAGAGATACCTTGACGAGATCCTGAGGCCCATTGTTGTGCCATTCATCCACGACCATCACCTCATGTTGCAGCATGATAATGCACGGCCCCATGTTGCAAGGATCTGTACACAATTCCTGGAGGCTGAAAACATCCCAGTTCTTGCATGGCCAGCATACTCACCGGACATGTCACCCATTGAGCATGTTTGGGATGCTCTGGATCGGCGTATATTAACAGCGTGTTCCAGTTCCTGCCAATATCCAGCAACTTGGCACAGCCATTGAAGAGGAGTGGACCAACATTCCACAGGCCACAATCAACAACCTGATCAACTCTATGCGAAGGAGATGTGTTGCACTGCGTAAGGCAAATGGTGGTCACACCAGATACTGACTGGTTTTCGGACCCCCCCAGACCATGCATTTATATTTTTGTTCAGTGTACGTCATGACTAAAAATAATCTTTATTGGCCAACCCTCGTAAATTATTAGTTAAATATTAACAGTAATCGTCCGTAATATTAATTTTTCATAAATACATATGTGTGATACCTTCCACCTCCAGACGGGCAACAGATTCAACGTGTCTGGTGACAAACTTGATCTCTCCAGAGTCCTCTGCTTTCACATTACACATCAGAAGAAAATGTTTGGTCCCTAAAATCAGAAACAACATTGTCAAGATAAATAACAGTACAGATAATAAGAAATTCCAAATATTATTTAAGGATCTACAAATGTTTTGTTGTTGTTGAGATTATACAGTTTTAGAGTGTTGTTAAGCTTGTTAATGGTATTTATTAGCATCACATGTTTGTGATTTTTATGCTGACCTTCCTGCCGGAGCTTGATGGTGCTGGTGGGTTGAATCCTCTCCCCGTTTTTGTACCATTCTCCTTGCAGGTCCTCCACTGAGATCTCACAAACAAACACGGCATTCTGGTCTTCCTGGATGTCCACGTCCTGTAGGCGCTTCAGGATCAGCAGCTCACGCTCTGCCCAGAGAATAAAACATTAAATGATGTTAAAATGGGCATTTTTTCACAATATCAAAGTAAAATAACTAAAGAGACCAATACATAACCTTGAAATTACTCGGGGAACTGAAAATAAGAACAATATTTGTTATTTTATCATTCCAAGGCAGACATATGCCTCATCTGGTAAATAGTTGTTACACCTTCTCTACCCCATTGCATAGAGGTGAGGACTTAAGCAATGATGATGATGTAAGAGGCCTTTGTGTGGGTGTATGTGTGTCTTTTGTATTTTCTAAAATGATTATTATGTTTTAATTAATATTATTTACAGTATATATGAATGCAATGTTACTGCCTTCTTTGTATTATTGTTGTTTCTGAGGTTTTGTTGTATACTCCAACTAAATAACTTGAGTGCAATTATGTTGTAATGCTGGTTTTCTTGAATAATCGGTTGTCAACTTGATGTTATGGATCCTTTTTCCTTTTTTCTTAACGGTATTGATTTGTTTTACGTGTCTCTTTTATTGTGTTCACTATCCACATAGTTTTGGCGCCAGCAACCACCATTGTAGCTGACACATCGTACGGCACATTGTGCTTCCACTTGGAATGAAATGTGCTATTTAAAGATCTGTTTGCTTACTGCTAACACTCCAGCCACTAATAGTGTTACTATAGTAATAGCAGTACCTACTATAAGTAGGTCATAATCCTTCTACTACTACTGCTAATAATATATTCATTAAAACTAATGAGAGGAAACTGTTATAGTATAAGTGCTTGGTACGAATGTTGGAATAATACACCCTTAAAATGAATGAAATCACTTTCTATTTTTGCATATATATATATATATATATATTTATATGTATGTATATCACTTTTTATTTTAATGCTCTCACTTTTTAATTCTCATATTTTATTTTATGTGTATCTGTTCTCTGTGCTTCTATTGTTTATATCAGGGGTTCCCAACCTTTATTGTGCCAAGGACCCGCAGATACATTAAAAAAAAATCGCGGACCGGTTGTCAATTTTAACTGATTTTAATATTTACTCACCACCAGCAGGTAGCAACAGAGGCTAATTGTATGTAACAGCCTGAACAAATACTAGAACAATATGCATCCAAAACATATTAACAACGTTTAAAAAAGAACCAGTGTCGTTTTTTGGTTTTTCTGAATAACGGAAAATCAAAAAAACTACGTTATTCAGTTTCCCAAAACGGGAAAACAGATAAATCAACGTTTTGGTTTTGTTTGTATGATTTACGGATAATCCAGTGAATGCTGGGAAAACGAGGAGAAGGCGCATTATGAAGGAGATGTCCGGTCGCCAGGGTATGTGTGTGTGTGTGTCACTGTAAACTAGCACATTATTGATATCGGACCGATTATTTGTTATGATTATTATTTGAACACTTTGCGCGCACTTTTGACCCCCGCAACATATGTGAAAACTCACCAAATTTTGCACACGCGTCAGAAGTGGTGAAAATTGCGATGTGTAATTGGTTCCGGAACTTTGCGTAAAAAATTGCGTAGGCCACGCCCACTTCCATTTTTAACGTAAACTCCCCCCACTTTAACTTTCACATAAACGAACGAAACTCGCTACGCATATAGGGTGCGGAGACGAACAAAAAAGCCTCTTGGAGGGGTATAAAATAACGTACAGGAAGTCGGCCATTTTGAATTTGGTGTCGGAAAAACGCGATTTATCGCGTTTCCATCCTCTGTACGAAATCTATCTTCTCCTAGGGACTTTATCCGTACGACTCGAAATTCATCGGGTAGCGTCTCGAGACATGGGCAATTAAAAGTTATCACGGAAATGTTTTTCTTTCGCACGGCGTAGCCGTTATTTGGCGCCAAAGTTCGCGTTCGCTCGATGCTAGGCGATCCCTCGCCATGGAACACGATGATGTCATAACTCAAACTGACAAACTCAGAACGCCACCAAACTTCACATGATGGTTAACACTGCGGCCCTGAACAGCTCTAGGTCGAATCTGATGTTACTTAATGTGGCGTTACCATGGCAACGGATCATTCACCATAAAACACGGTGCTGCTGTAACTCCAATGGACACGGTCCCATCGTCCCCCAATCTTCACTTTTATATCACCGGTTCATGCCTCAACAGCTCTATGTGAAATCTGAAATCTCACCGTTTGTTTAAAACACAATGTTGTCTTAAGTCAATGGAAAATGGTCCAAACTGCACCAGACTTCAGACTATCATTAATGGGCCGGCCCTCAACAGCTCTATGTCAATTATGGGATGTCATCATATGCCGTTGCCATGGCGACAGATCCCTCGCCATGAAACATGGTGTTGTCATATTTCAATGGAAAATCGTCCAAACGGCACCAGACTTCATATGATGGCTAATGGTCCGGCCCTCAACAGCTCTCCGCCAATTATGGGATGTCATCATATGCCATTTCCATGGCAACGCGTCCCTCGCCAAAAAACCTGGTGTTGTTGTAATTCAATGGAAAATCGTCCAAACAGCACCAGACTTCAGATGAGAGTTAATGGTCCGGCTCTCAACACCTCAATATCACAATAGTGAGCTTTCCTCAAAAGCTGTTGCCATGGCAACACATCCCTCGCCGTTAAGCACGATATTGATATAACTCCTGTGTAAATGGTAAAAAACTGTTCAAATTTCACATGTGTGCTAACCGTCAAGCCCTCGATACATATATGTGTCAGTTTTGAGATTTCGTCAAATGTCGTTGCTATGGTAACAAAATGGTCGCCGTGAAACATGGTTGTCTCATAACTCCAGTTAACATGCTCCAAACGGCCCAAAAATGCACAGGTTTGATAACGATGTAGCCCTCAACACATCTAGGCTTATTATGGGGTGTTATCAAATTCCGTTGCCATGGCGACAGATCACTCGCCATCAAACACAATGTTTGTGTTACTGCTGTAACTCAAAGACATTGTCCGATCGGCCTGAAACGACCACGTTTGCCAACGGCCGACTCCTCGAGACACCTAGACACACACGTCGACGTGCGGACAACAGCCTGCGGAGCGTCGAAGACCCGCTCAACGCTGCTTGCAGCTTTAATTATATGTGTAATCAGACAGAATTGAAATCACCTGTGTGGATGGACCAAGCCTGAAATGAATGTGCACCATCTTGGGGTGAACTGGCACTTCACCAATCCAGGAGTCTAAATATGTGGTTGGTGCCTTATTTATCTTTAATTTACTGAACACGGTGTGAGAAAACCTACTTGTTGGCTAAATGTAAATAACATTTGGCAAGGAGAAATAATAAAGTCCTCAACATTTAAAAGAAGAAACACCTGGTAGCGGCTAACAAAGAAGTGGCTAACAGTGGCTAACAACAACAAAGATGGCAGCGCTTATCTGGCATTGTGAGTCTGTGGTAAGTACATTCTTCTTTCTTTTCTCTTTTTGTTTAGCCCAAATGTATCCTTGTGGGCCTACTTCCTTGGAGGTGTTAGCATTCAGTAAATATATCTAGGCTAGTAGCTAATGTGAGTTGCTGTCACAAAGCTAACTTTGCTTGATAGGAGTGTGGTGGAACCACAGCTAGCTTATGTCACACAAACTCACACTGATTCTCTCACATTGTGCTTATACTAAATGCTAAACTGGGTTGGTCACTTTACTTTAGTTTCTCTTTAACAACAGTCTTTCTCATACCTTATTAAAAGCCAATACTATGACTTGATGTGGAAGTAATGAATTTAACAAAAGCACAGTTAACAGTCAAACATACAAGCAATGATAAAGTGAATGCATATTATTTCAATTATATCTGTGTTTTTTCCTATTTAAAAATAAATGTCTGCCTGTCTATCGTTAATATACTTGTTTTGAGTTGGTTTTTTACATTTTTAAGTGTTAGTTTATCATTAAAAATGTGTTTTACTGTTGAGTTTAATTTATAATATTCTGAACAACATTCAGGCTAGAATTGCCCATGATTGACATGCATCACCATGTCATTTGTGAATAAATGACCAACCCGATGCAACTGATGCAAAGTGCTGTAAAAGGAATACAAATGTGTGCAGTGTTTGTTAATATGGTGATGTGTCATAGTCTGAGCCACAGTTTGGGCTTTTGCTGTTTTAATATTTCCCGAATGATCTGCTGTTAGTTATTTGTACATTTATATTAAATAGTACTACACCATTAAGGCCACTACGTGATTGCTACTGTGAAATTGAAGGCCTTCGTTTCACAGAAAGAAAAAAGGAAGTTTATAGTATTTAGACGGCCAACCTTACCATACACCTCTACAGTGCAGGATGTAGTAGTATCTCCAGCATCGCAGGTGTAAATGCCAGAGTCACTGACGTGACATTTCATGATCTGAAGAAACCGTTTCCTTCCCATTGAGTAAATGCGCAATTCCTTGCCCGGCTTTAGCTCAACCCCGTTCTGGGAGGGATACAAAAGAAAAACTGATTTCAATTCAAGTATATTTAATCACTTTAAACATCTGAATCTAGGTGAAGTATTATCCAATTATTTCAGTTTTTTGTTCTGTATTGACAAAGTTAACAAAATACAACAATAACTTCAGGATTGACCTAAAGAATTTGGTCAAAAAAACATAAATACTAGGTTGTTTGATAGTTTGAAGTGTAATGCACTACTCGTAATGATTTTGGCTTTAAATTACCTACAGTATGGTAAGCCATAGGTGTATCATCTTGTAAACCATAGGTGTTTTAATAAAGCAGTGTTTTTATCCTGTCACATTATGCTGCCACATTGTAATTGCAGTGCTTTAATTTTGAAAGAGTGATGCCGTCAAGACCAAATGGTTAAATAGCTGTATGTTTATCTCCGAAAAGGAGATGGATATCCTGTTTTTTTAGCCCCTGACTTTAATTTTACATTTCAATTATGTAGCATTTGTTATGCAAAGCGAGGGTGTGTTAAGTCTTTATAATGTTATGGTTTTACTTTGAGGTGATAACACATTGTAATGTGACACTTTGTCATGGATAGTTTTTGATTTGGTTGTTAGTTATGAAAAGAAAACAAGAATGCAACACTTGCCTTCATCCACTTCACATCAACATTGTGTCTTGACAGTTCACACTCAATAGAGATTACTGCCCCATCAGGGAATTTCTGGTCTTCCAGTTTTCTGAAAATGGTCACAGGGGGCTCTAGTGGACAAAAAACATTAAAAGTTAGGCAATTAAAAGAACATCTTAAATGTCTTCACTTCAAACTATGCACAAAGTATGTGTGTAGCAGCTCAAAGAAGAAATACGGTTCAGTTATGTGGAATAATTTACCGTGATGAGATTTTCATCCAATTGTCATCGCCGTAGCACAAAGGGATGATGCATCCTGAGTGACTCGGCATGAAGCGGATTATTTTACAGCATGAGGTTAAACTATCCCCTGACAGATAAGAGTGAACAGAGCTACCGCTTGTCACCGGGTCAGGGTAGACTACTTTGTGTTTGTAACGTGAGCCCGGATAAAGCCAACAGAAGTGGAGCCGTCGCTCTATTCTATTATCATGCCTCAACTGGTTGGCATCTGGTCTACTGTGAGAGGACCACTTTAGCTACCAGTCTGAAGTCACAACACACATTTACAGTAACATTTGTTTTGGTAATACTGCAGTCTAGTGTACCCTGGTTTTGTGCATTGAAAATGTACAAAAGTAGACGCCTTGTTAAAAGCACATTTCCTCCAGAACGCCCTTATTTTACTGTGGATTATCAGACAACTGTGTTAAATAATTGGCAAAACCTCTTAAATGACTCACCCTTCACAACAAGCCTTGCAGTCGTCTTCAAATTCTCCACAGAGAATGTAAAGGTGCCGGTGTCTTCTACCGACAGGTTATAGATGGTGAGGCTGTGGACTTGTCCTTTGGCACTCATACGATAGTGATTTGTCGGCTTAAGCTTGATTGTGTTTCTCATCCAGGTACCGGGTACATTGGAATGAGAGAGCTCCACCTCAAAAGAGGCAGTTTCTCTCTCTGTTGTTTTAATGTCGGTCAGCCCTCTCTTGATTTTGATCCTTCGAGCTGTAAAGAACATTGCAGACCTGTGTAAAAAGGCGGCACAATACTCCCAACAAGTGCAGCTTCTTAGTGTGCATTTTCACTGTCTATTGTAAGAAAATTATAGTTAAACAAATGTTGTGTTTAATAGATCGACCTTAGTCAGAAGCGTTTGCATTCCACTTTAACACTGAGATAGACATGGTGCCCCTTTTTATGTAACATAATAGGCTTGGAGTCTGTTCTGAACACATCAGTCTGCAGTTAAACAATACAAGCTGGCACACATCGACAAGCCAATAGTTTAGTCATTTGAGTATGGGGCTTTACACAAAAGCCCGTTTTGAAACTGCCAACATTTTTCACTTATTCTAACAGACGCACATTCCCTGTGGAAAAAAAGGAGTGTTTATTTTGGTGACCTGATGACAGCAACCTTAGTTTTGAAGGCCAGAGTGTAAATTTAGACGCAATCGGAGGAGATCCAAATTCATAGGAGGTGCCAACAGCAGCCTGAAGTCCTGACTTTCCCTGTCCCACCCACATTGGTGTTGAAAGAACAGCCTTTAATTCACCCACGGCCTTTGAATCATAGGGCTAAGAAATACAAGAAGCATGTAGAAAGAAAAACAAGCTTATGTACACCTTAATCACTACAAGATGCCGATTTTATGGTGTGGCAAGATGGCTATTTCAATAAATGTAAGTCTTGTTGGTTCATAGGAACATTTTATTATGGTTGCAAAATGTTATTCTAGTAGTAGTGGCATCTTAAGTTAATTATAAAGCACTTCCCTTAAAACTAATCTGATTATCCGTTGACATTGTTAATTAAATCATCAGGGCCTGATTGATCTTTGTCAATAAAGAAAATCTTGTCTGAAAGTCAGCTCGGGCTGTAAGGCTATCACCTGTTAGTTGCCATCATGCTGCAGTACAAGTGCCACCCCGGTCCCCACTCACTCACATTACTTCTACTCAGTTAATTGGGATTTGCCTTCACGAGAAGCAGCGTTGGAGGGCGTGCAAGAGGTGGAGTCATCGGCAACGGCGGTAAACAAACAACAAGAGAGCATAGTGGGAACACATGCACACTCACGTTCCACTGTGAGCTGGGCTTGCGTGCGGTCGTGGAGGGTCTCACAGCTGTAGCTGCCCCGGTCAGAAATGGCAAGTCTGTGGATGGTGAGACTGTGTTTGCGGCCCTTGTGTTTCAGGGTATTCTTGGCTCCAGGGTGGATCAGTACCCCTTGCCTCATCCACTGCACCTCTCCCGAATCCAGACCTACCTCCACCTCTAGAGTTGCCTCACTGTACTCTTCAGCGACAACTGGCGTCATTTTCTTGGTGAACAGCACCTGTTGCTCTAAATATATTAAATATATTTATGTCTTCTTTATTAATTTTTCATAAAAATACTCTAAAGTCAATCCCAGACAAAGCAAAATACCAAATACAGAAAGAGACAATCAGCATAGTTAGCAAGTTCAAGCACATAGAGCAAGAGTACACCTTGGAGGATCTTTGCCCCCAACAGTGTCACATAAACCAGAACCACTGAGCCACTCTTCTCTCAGTTACCAGAGGAATTCCAACAGGAGAAGCTGCTAAGCACTAGCCTTCAAAAGCGCCTCTTCAACTATTTGAACTTGTCTGAATGGGCCTTTATTTTGCATACACACTTAAGTGGTGCCAATGGTACGCAGGCATATAAATTCTCCTACTTTCCATTTTTATATTTTATACTCCAGTGTTGCTGTTAATAGCTCATAGGTATAAAAAAACATGGGGACTACCAGAAAGATAGGAGGTTATTGAAAAGTATTGATTGTTAAATGTTGTAACTTCTGAGATTTGTTAAAATGTATTTACTGTGTGTGTGTGTTTGTCTGTGATGAGTATTTAGTCACAGTAGTAATGGATGGAACTCACCTTGGATCTGGAGTTCTGCCTCTGAAACTGTCCCCTCTGCATCAGCTGTTACTCTGCCGCTATCTGATACCATGCAGTTGTGGATGCAGAGCATGTGGCATAGTCCGTTACTTGAAATGACAGTGCGCTCATTTGGAGCTACTTGCTTGCCATTTAGGCGCCACACCAAGCGAGTGTCCTCTGGTGAAACCACACACTTAAATACTGCATCTTCTCCTTCACGGACAGTGATGTTACAAAGCTCCGCAATGAACTCAACAACACGGGGAGCTGTAAATATTAAGATGGCACATGGACAATGTTAAACATTATTTATTATTTAACATGTATTAATACATTATTTTTGCCTTTTATTTTATTATTTAAAATGGCTTACTTTGTACATTTACAGTAGCTGAGGTCCTGTCATCTGTGGATTCGCAGGCATATTCTCCAGCATCTTCTTCCTCTAGTTGCTGGATGGTAAAGCTTCGCTCTCGACCTTGTGCCCTTATTGTGTGCCGACGGCTTGGAGAGATCTCGTGGCCATCTTTAAGCCACTGGACATCTCCTTTAGGCTTGCTGATCTCACATCGTAATATAAGTATACTACCTTTCAGAGACACAATGTTCTCCAATGGTTTGGTAAATGTCATTTTCATTCCTGATGAGTAGAATAAAAAAACAATAATCCAAAAATGTTAGCCTCGAAACAGTTAGGATCAAGTTACTGCTACTTGGAAATAGTGGTCACATAAAACACATTTAATTTAGGATTGCCAAAGTCTTACCTTTGACTAAAAGACTGAACTGCATCTGATCTGTGTTAATGTCACAGACATATTCTCCAGAATCTGACAGCTGCAGGGGATTAATGGTGAGCTTGTAGGTATTACCCTCACTGGAGATGTGAATGTTGTCCCTGTTCAATAGTTGGCCATCTTTCAGCCACCGAACATTAGTTATTTCTCGGCTCACAGTGGCACACAGCGTAACACTCTCATTTTCATTGGCTGTGATGTTACTAGCTGGTTTTTTATTCTCAAACTTGACTGGTAGTTCTGAGAAAAAATTAGATTTGCTCATGAATTCCATGTGAAGCGATAAGGTAATCAAACAGAAACTAATAAATGTCATCAAAAGCCTGTAGTTTAAATCTCACCTTGAACCTCAACAATCGTTGTCAATTTGTCATCCATGGCATCACAAATGTATTCTCCAGAGTCTGAGGGCTGGAGTCCAGTGAGAACAAGCTTCCGTACAACATCATGGCTGTCAATTTGTATACGAGTGTCTGGTTTCAGTATCTCGCCATTCCATAACCACTGGACGGTTGCGTTTGGCCGAGATACTTCACACTCTAAAATGAGGTCATCTCCTTCTACCAGCATATGATGCTCCGGGTGGCCTGAGTTTCCGATGATTGATACTTGAGGCTCTGAACACAAAGGACAATGCATTATTTCCATCCTGATTGAAGGACAGACAGTTAACATTTACATTGCGTGATAATATGATTACCTTTGACAGTGATATAAAAGACCATCTTATCATCCACTGCATCACAGGTGTACTCTCCTGAATCTTCAAGTCCAGCATTAAGGACAACCAGCGAGCGGAAAACCCCTTGCTCTTCACTACAGTATCGCTCGGTGTCATCAACTAGCTGATTAGCTTTGTACCAACTGACTGAGGCATTCGATCTTGATAGTTCACACACTAGAATAATATCATCTGATACCAAGAACTGCTTTTCAGTTTTTGTGTCCGTTTTTCCAATAATTTTTACAGGCAATTCTGAAAACAAACAAAATAGTACAGAATTCTATTGGAATGGAACCTTTTTCTGTTTTTATTTTTATTATTATCATTATGTGTTATCTAGTACAGAGCTCCAACGCTCCTGAAAGATGAGATTTTTGTACCCAGGAGTTATTATCATAGTGTCTGTGTTAGGGATATATTGGCTGGATCTTGAGTGCACAATACACATTACTCGTAAAGATACCGTAGAATGTCATCTTTCGGGACATAAGGAGCTCCCTATTATTTTTGGAGTTATAGCTTATAGCTAACAACCTACCTTGCACTTCTACATGGAAATCCATCACATCATCCTTAGCATCGCACACATATTGGCCAGCATCTTCCATTGTTAGTGAGTGAACAGTTAACTGACGCATGACACCATCCTCAAGGATGGTGATATTTCTGGAGTCTTCTACTTCTTCCCCATTCTTCTTCCAGGTGACTTCAGCATTTGATCTTGAAACCTCGCAGTCTAGAACCAGAGTCTCCCCAACCACTTTGTCTACTCTACCTGCCATCTTCCTCGGACGTACAAAACGAACAGGAGCCTCTGTGAATTTAGAACATTTTCGTGTTAGAAATGAATTAAACACTGCCCAAGCATTACATTGAAAACATATTTGTTCACCTGCTATGTTCACAAAGAACGTCATGGAGTCATCTGCAGTGTCACAGACATATTCGGCAGAATCTTGGACAGTAGTTTCTGGTATAATAAGTCTTCTGTAGACACCATCCACTTCTAGGATAAGGTTCTCATTCTCCTCCACTTCAAGACCGTCTCGATACCAGCGCACTACTGCATTGGTCCGTGAGATTTCACAGCTCAATACCATCCTCTCAGAGGTCTGTTGGCACAGTTCCATTTGAGACTGACTCGGGGAAACAATCCGCACTGGAGGTTCTGGAAAGAGGCGGTAAACATTAGCCATCACTCATTACTTTAATGAATGCTACAAAATATCTGCAAAGTTGTTATGTTTATTGCTTGCAGAACTTTTTGGCATACTGTGATCCTGGTTGAAAGATCAACCCTAACTTTTGCAATGATAACATTGATGGTATGCTTCAAGCAAAAGTGCTATCAGATCATCAAACATTGCCTTAAACTTCCTACCCTTATTTCAAACCATAAAATTGGTCATGTGACAATTATTTTTTTCTAACTTTGTAGTCCATGGCCCAACAAACACATCATGTCGTGTAGAAATTGGCCAGGAGTTGCGGGGGACAAACAATTGTTTTAGTAATCCCATCACTTTTTGTGTTAGCTTACACAAAGTTCCTAATTAAAAGTATACTGTTGCATTTAGTACCACATGCAACTCATTGTGCATCTGGCTGTTACAATACTGAGATACCTAGATATATAGAAATGTGCAATTGACTGTGTGTGGAATCAGCAATTTTACCTGTAATACTAAGATGAAAGAATATTGAAGCGTCGGCTGTGTCACAGACGTATTCTCCAGAATCTTCTACTCCACTAGAAATGATCTTCAGTCGTCGATAAGGGCCTTCAATCTTGAGCTTGATGTTCTCACTCTCTTGCAGCTTTTGTCCGTCTTTGTACCAGCTGACAACACCATTTGCACGAGACAATTCGCAGCTCAGAATAATTTCCTCGGGGACATGACGGTCAAGGTGAACATCTTCCTTGGGGTGGATAATCATTACCGGAGGTTCTTTGGAAGAAGAAAACATAATATCAAACAATACCCAGTATGTATTTTGAGAATGAAGTTTTCTTAAGCAATGTTTAACCAATTACCTCGTATGTTAACCTTGTACATTAGAATGTTGTCTCCTGCACGGCATGTGTATGTGCCTGTATCGGACGGTTGGGCTGCATGTATTGTCAGGTTCCTTTTGGTGTCCTCTACTTGCATTGTGATATTGTCGCATGGTTGCATTTGAGCTCCATCTTTGTACCACTGGACAACACCGCCAGCCCTTGATACTTCACATGACAAAACAAGCTGTTCTTGTTCCACAACACTCTTGAAAAGGTCCTCCTCTGGGATTTCAGCAAACGTTACCGGTGACTCTGCAAAAAAACAATACACAAAAGGGGTAAGTCATTGCTTGAAGGTAGAATTTGTTATATGCTCATGCATGTAGTAGTCCATCGGATTTCACAGCCCAGACACGTGAATGTTAATCCACTTTTGAAGCAAAGTGAAATGAATGATTAAAGCAGTGCGCTGATGAAAAGCTGTTACCATAGTTGTGTTGAACAAACCATTAGACTCATCAAAATACATGCTATTAAATGTGAAGCACATAGGAAAAGCAACTAAATGTTGAATGAAATTAGGACACTTAGAAGCAAATCTACTATGATGATGATGATGGCGATGATAAGGTTTTGCTTCCTTTTTCGATATTAGAGGTGATGAAGGTGTAGACTCAGCAATGACAACATCTTTCTAAGAAAAGCTAAGTATATCACCTTTAACCTCCTCATAGAAATCGTTGAAATCTGAATCATCATCAGTTTTATAACTGTAACCTCCAGAGCATGAAGAAGATGCAGACTTGATAAGTGTCCTCTTATTGCCCTCTGATTCGATGTTTATTCCCGATTTCCGTGAGAGTTTTATTCCATCCTCACACCAGCCGGTCTGGCTTGTGGGGTCTGAGGTCTCACACTGCAGATTGATCGGGCTGCCTGCTTCAACAGATTTGCTCCTCTCAGTCTCTGGAACAGCTGAGAATCAAACTGGTGCTATAGGAATTCCAATTCATTGAACAGTAACCAGATAGTAATCAGATTGGCTATTCTATGTAATACTTGCATTTTCATGCTGAAGGCTGTAAAATGTAACATTTTACTCCAAGTTGAACAGACGTTCTGACCTTTTATTTGGTATATTAAAGATTTTGCGTACACAGGTTGACAAAGGTATTCAAACAGTAATAGAGTCATGGACTCACATGCAAACAGTGAGTCAGCTGAAAGTAACAGTTTTTTGCTACTTGTCTATTTGTTAATTTAACTTTAGTTGTTAACAAATAACTTGCACAGCCTTTATGCACTTTCAGACCAGGAAGTCCGCAGTGCATGCAACTCATCCAAGTCTTGCCATAGTCACACAGTGGAAAACGCAACAATCTGCTCTGATTCCTGCAACAAGGGGTACAGTTTGACGAGGGTCAACAATTAGGAGCCACTGCTGATCCCGTGCACTGAGTTATTAAATCAGCATTCATTCTTTAAGTTCACATATTATCATCTTATAAAGTTGCAAACATGTTAGCAAACAGCTACATATTAACACACGCAGTAGACACAGAGCAAATGTATTATTCATTAGGAGTTGTGTTTTTGGCCCGTCGCCCTTTTAGCTCTGTTTTGGTCTCCACCAATTCCTGATTACAATATCAGGCTATTAAGCGAGCCTCCCATGCCAGGCAAATAGCATTAAGTCGTTTTATTAAAGATCGTTGGCTTTAAATAGTTGCATGCTGCATTTTACAACAGGGTCGATGAGGGCAGTGAGACAGCCATACAGCTTCTGGTTGTAAAACACTAAAAGACTGTGTGGGGCCAAGATAAACTACAACATCGGTTGAAACTTCCTATAGTTTGCTATTTCCAGCTACCTCTACCACTTTTGCACATAGCATTTGATCCACTGTTAATCTAACATGTTTGATTTGCACAGTCTAAATGGCCTTTAAGCATTAGCATGTTAGAGCAAGAACTACATTGAGCTACGTATCACTGCTGCTGCTTATAAAAACAATTGGCACCATTAAATAATGCCTGATCCCCAATGAACATATCCATTATTATAATATATTACATTTAGGCCAGCTGTCACATATTTTCTATTAGGGTTTATATGTCCCCCAAATCATATGAAGTACAAATGTAAGCATCAGTACACCCAATCTTAGAACATTATAATTAGTTGATAATAAGTTGATCTAGTAAGCAAGCATTCACTAAAAGAAGTTAATGATTCTGACAAAGCTCAAAATACTTGGATCACCTGCAACATCCACCTTGAATTCTATATGGTCATCTGCGGCCTCACAGCTGTACACCCCAGAGTGTCTGACATCTGCTGATGCAATAACCAACGCTCTGAGTTTTTCTTTTGTTTGGATTTCACAGTCACTCTTTGGAGGTAGCTGTTTTCTATTCTTGTGCCAATAGACTTGCGCAGCTGGCTCTGAAACTTCACACTGCAGCTTAAGTGGGCATCCTGCTTCAACAAATGTGTTTCTTGCAACATCTGGAAGTGCTGAAAACCTCACAGGAGAGGCTGGAGGGTAAAATAAGATTTGCAAAGCACTGTTGTTATGCTGTCAGAACATCATTTAAGTATTGTTCATCAAACTTTTGGGTTATTTTAGCGCAGTATAGATAATTTATAAAGTTCTGTGTTTTAAGACAGTTACAGTTGGATGTAATTGAGCAAGTAAGTAGTGCACATTTAAAGGCAATTAGAAAAACCTGGAAGCTCTACTTAAAACTGAACACAATTTAAGAAAATCACCTTCAACGTCCACCTGGAATGTCACAACATCATCAGCGAGGCTACAGCTGTAGAGACCAGAGTCAGAGACCTTAGCAGAATGGATCATTAATTTTCTCTGACTGCCATCTCTTTTCATATCAAGGCCAGTTTTGCAAAAAAGCTCAACCTCATCTTTAAACCAGGAAACCTGGGCGACAGGGTCTGAGACCTCACACTGAAGGACAATTTGACCACCCATTGTAATCATCTTGTATTTTTCTGACAGGGGGATTGGCATGATCTTTGGCGATCGGCCTAAGAGAAAGGAATAACAAGGGGTTTTGAATAAGAGTTGAACTCAAACAGTGGACAAAACAGACAGTCATACCATGTTCTCCAGAACATTCAACACAAACTCGACAAATTGTTTAACACACTTGATGTGGTATGTATGATAAGAAGATAGAAAGGAAGGAAATAAATCACCTTCTACGTCCACTTTAAATGTGATGGTGTCATCTGAAGTTGAGCATTCATAGGTGCCACAGTGTATATGTTCAGCTGAGTGGATGAGTAGAGTTCTTGTTTGACCATCTGACTGTAGTTCCATATTGTTTTGTGGTAGGAGTTTCATTCCATCCTTGTACCAATCCACATGGGCAGAGGCATCATGAGAGAGTTCACAGCTGAGGACAATGGGAGAACCTTCTTGGACGTACTTGCTCTTGTCCGTCTCTTGAAGCTCTGAGAACTTCAAAGGTAGTGCTATAGGTTTCAAATATTGAAAAAAGAGGGTCTTAATAACTACATGAATGTTATTATTTGAGATCATTAAATATCCAACCTACTGTATTCAATTACAAAGAGTTTCAAGACAAAATGACACAACAACATACAACAAAAACACAAACGAGGACAATGAATAAAACACATTTCATAGTGCTTAAAGAGCAAGAATCGATATCTGAATGTCCAAGATATCCAGTAATTGTAGACTTACATCAAAAATGGGATTGTTTGTGATAACGTTTTCCGTTAGTGTGTTAAATGAAAAAGACGAAAGCTTGTCATCAGATATTGGACATGCATATTAAGAAGCGGCATTGTGAAGCTGCTCATCTTCAACAGATTTTGGAGAGGAGTCCTATATTATCTAATGTCACTCTGTTAAAACATTGATTGGGGCAACAGGTTTTAGGAATTAGTTGACCAAATTAGATAACCATTTTCTATTAGATGATTAGACAATTGTGACTTAATCACCTGCTGTTACAGTAAGTTGGCCGTGCAAGACAGTGAAAGCGCTACAGAGTTTCTTAGCATCACCTTTTACTTCCACAGCAAACTGGATGTCATCATCCTTTGACTCGCAGCGGTATATGCCAGTGTGAGCCCGCTCTGCTGATGGGACAACTAGACCCCTGACATTTCCCTCTGACTGGATGTCTACTCCATTTTGAGGTAGGAGCTTTGTTCCATCCTTGAACCAACTGACTTGTCCAGTGGGGTCTGACAGCTCACATTGTAGTGCAATGGGAGAGCCCGTCATGACCGTCTTTTTCTGGTCACCCTCAGATAAAGCTGAGAACTTCAGAAGTGGAGCTACAGGATTGAATGTAAAAATAGAATTGGTCAATAAAACAGACACTGGTATCAGCGAAAGGAAGCAAGGCACAATCCTGAAGCTAAATGCTTAAGCAGCATGTTCAACCGTTGCAAATATTGTACAAATCTTTTGTGTATACCTTATTAGCTTTTAAATTATATTTTCTTCAGTTAACAAACATTGAATTCCTGGTAGACCCAAAGTAAAAGATACAGAATGTTGGTTATTTGCTTGTAGGATGATTCAGCATATATTTCTTAATGAAAAAAATAGATTTCTTATGTAAGGCGTACAAAAAAAAAAAATATATATACATTTTTAAAACCGGGAAGTGGGTAATATTCTGAGAATTTTTTTTTTGCTGCGTCTCAATTCACATATCTGAACTCACATTTGCTATTTTGAGTGCACAAGTCGTCGAAGTACGAAATACAGTACGGACAAATGCAGTGCACAATGAGTGTGGTACACTGTAAACTTTTTGCATATAATGATCGGCATCTTTGCCATGCAACAGTTGGACCAGTGAACACTTCGCTATGGAAGACACCACTACCTGGTCAAAGTTCACACAGTCAAAGTATATTTCGCAATCGGATTTGGCAAGAAGAAAATTCAGTGCCATGCAATTTTTTCGACAGCCTATTATTCCAAAACCCAAATCGTCAGAAATAAGTCCCATTGGACCAAAAGCCCATTTGTCTAACAGCATGTCATTCCAACACAAACAGAAGCACATTAGGACTAACAAATCTACCTTGTCCGAAAACTTATTTTGTATACTTTGGAGAGGGCATGAATCAATCTGCAGTTTTTCTGATTGACTTTCTCCCTACCAATCCCACCCGGCATGTCTAACCTTAACCGACAAATCCAACTAACGAAAGTAGGAGTCAAAAGGAGCAGCATATTGCAAGTCATACCTTCACCCAAGTTGCCTATTCGGTAAGGTTGGTAAAGGTACTTTTTCTCGTAAATCTGTGACTTCAATTTCAGAGAATGTCTGATTTAAAAAATAATATAGACAATAGACTTGGGAATATTCAACTTTTCTTTATCGTACATTTTTCTTTCTTTCTTGTGAACTAACCACTTCAATATCAGATCAAATTCATGATTGTTTCTCAGAAAATGACCACTTTAACAACAGAAACCAGAGTTTTTCCCTGATACTAATTATCTTGCCAAGTGAGAGTCATTGCAAGCTTCCTAAATAGCTACCTTTTTAGACACAAAAACGGGAAGATACGTGCAGCAATGCAGTCTTGTGTAATGTTTTACCACAGCTAGGGTGATTAGCTTAATTTATAATGTCTTTACTGTAGTATGTAGGTAGATTTTAGCCAGGGACCTGCGGTCAGGAAGGGTATATTGATTTAGATATTTGAGCTAGCAAGCAAAGATTCTGCAGTCTTTTACACACTTTCACAAGTGGTCACTTATAGCTCTTTGTCATTGTTTATAAGTTGTCATAATACTCAAACACTTTAATTTTGGTGTGCAAACCGCACAAATAGCAGCATGTACCTAAGATCTCTAAGTCTGTACAGATGTCATGTAATAACTTCAACATTAAACTGATGTCATCTAAATACTAAATGAAAATGTTATGTATTAAACGCTATGGCAGTGTTTTAATTAATGCTGATTTTCTGTTTATTGATAGAGGTAGATTATTCTTCATTCAAGTAAAATAATGAGGACCTATATGCTATTTGAATTACACAGAACCTGACAAAAATCTAATTTCAGAACAGATGAAAACAACGTTTGTCACCTTTAACATCCACATGAAACTGCACTGCATCGTCTGTTGTTGTGCAGCTGTAAATCCCTGCATGAGACGGCATCGCTGACTGGAAGACCAGCGTTCTTATGGAACCCTCCGCCAGCATGTCTTGCCCAGATGCTTCAAGAAGTTTTATTCCATCCTTGTACCAATTAACTTGAGCGTTAGGATCTGATATCTTACATTGCAGCACTATGGGTTCATCGACTTCAACAGACTTGTTCCTTTCAGCCTCACAAAGTGTTGTAATTCTCACGGATGGAGCTGGGGATGTTTGAGGTAACATCAAGAGAAAAGAAATTGCATCACTAATACGGACTACAGCGAAAATAACAGAGCAATGTCTCAAATCAAGATTAGTCATGCTAATAAATCTTAACAGTTAAAATAAGTAATAATAAAATATATGTATTTTTTATTATTAGTAATCTAACTAGAGGTATCTTTGGTTAGACTTGAGATAACTGGCATTCAAGTTAGGATTTGAAACAAATACTTTTCTTTAATATTCCTCACAGACCACTCAAGCTCAAAGTTTTACACTGACTACTTAAGTAGTTTTAGTATGAACAAACTAAAGTAAGTTAATGTAGAAATTGTCAAAATGTCAAGGATTGCAAAAGCAATCTCTTAATTTTACACAATGTCAACATTGTGCCCGTCCATTTTTGGTTTGATAATGCTAACCATTTAAATCACCTTCAACAGCCACCTTATTTGCTCTGACACTGTCACTCCAGTGACTGTCACATGTCCTTGATAGATAGATCTCTTCCGATTGGAAAGTAGATGCCTGCTTGATATATTGAGGCTCTGCAAACTGAAGAGGTGATCTTTGCCCAGAGTAACTTCTGATGTCTACTTCGTCTTCTGATGCCTTCATGTTGAGATGACACTTTGCTTGTACTGTTGTTGCTTGCATGGAATGAGACAAAACCTCTGAATGGTTCGGTATTGATTGTTCCTTTTGAGTGAGGTCATCCAATCCGTCATGCGCAGATTGTTGCAAGTTGTATCCTTTTTTGGTTTGTGCTGTTTCTGCCTCATTATAGTTATACAAGTCCAGTGATTGAGGGGATACAGTGTCTGGAAGGCCACTGAGCTTCTTTGACTTGACAGTTGATGTCTGTAAGGGTCTGTTCAACTCCTCTGATTGGTCAGTTGCAGTCCCTAAGGAGTAACAGGGCGCCTCTAAATGGACAAGTTCAGTTTGTAAGCAATGCAGAAGCTTCTCTGACAGGACTGGCATCTGTATGGATCTACAAAGATCCTCCGATTGGACAGTTGCAGTTTGTGAGGATTTAAAAGGCTTCTCTGTTTGGTCAGTTGCAGTATGTGAAGATTTAGATGGCTCAATAGATTGGACAGTTGCATTGTGTGAGGAGGATTTAGAGGGCTCCTCTGATTGGACATTCGCAGCATTTGAGGATTTAAACGACTCCTTTGGTTTGACAGTTGCAATATAGGAGGATTCAGAATGCCCCTCTGGTTGGACTGTTGTAGTATGTGAGGATTCAAAGGACTCTTCTGGTTCGACAGTTGCAATATGTGAAGATGCATAGGGCTTGTCTGATTGGACGATCGCACTATGTAAGGACTGTAAGGATTCCGTTAATCTGACAGTTCTAGTATGAAAAGATTTAGAGGGCTCAGCTAGTTGGACAGTTGCGGTGTGTAATAATTTAAAAGACTCCTCTGGTTCGACAATTGCAGTGTGTGAACATTGAAATGACTCCTCTGGTTGCAAAACGTTAGTGTGTGAATGTTTATATAGCTTCTCTGGTTGGACAGTTGCATTGTGTGAGCATTCAAAGGGCTCATCTGGCTGCAGAATTGTAGTTTTTAAGGAGTTGCACAACTTTTCCGATTTGACTGTTGAAATATGTTGATGGTTAGTAATGTGTTCTATCTGGGCAGTTGAAGTTTGTTGGGGATTACCCAGTTCTGACTGGACAGTTGGCATCTGTATTGGGCTATGTAGCCCTTTTGACTGGACAGATAGAGTATTGACTGATCCAACAGCTGCAGTTTGTAGAAAATTACAGAACTCATCTGTTCGGACAGCTGTCGGCTTGGAATTATCAAGCTCTTCAGATGGGGCTTTTGCATGCTGAAGATAGTAAATGAAATCCTCACCTTGTGATTCTGTGGGCTTATTAGTGTGATGGTGTGTGTCAGATTGTGTTATTGGTGGCTTTACAGAGTTACAGAAAGCTGGAGATGTTCGTGGATTGCCGTAGAGCTCCTTTGACTGTTTAGTCGTATTCCAGTCAGTCATATATTCATATTTTGACTGAGAAGTTGGTATATGCCTGGAATGTTCTTCATTTGTCTGTGTATCTCCTCTCTCGTCCCAGCTACCAGAATTGCATTTTGAGGACATGCAGTCAACTTCAACAGGATAGGCCTCTTCATTGGACTTCTTTTCTTGGTCAGAAGAGTGCCTTGGCGATGTAGCTATAAGCATTGTGATGTACACAGAGAAAGGTTTTCATTGGTTGATGGTCTCAATACTTCTTCTCATAACAGAATTTTACATCAGTGTTGGTTAGAATGGAGTTATGGGATAATTCATTGCAAAGACAAACAAGAAGATCGACCAGGTTTGGTCTGAGATTGAGTTCCCATGTTTCCCCTTTCAACCGACTCCTAAAACTGGTATACCACCAGTATGTTTACTAAGGTCTTAAAAATCTAAACAATTAATTTACTTTATTGTCTTAGATAAGAGTTCGTTGTCATTGCAACGGTGAGATGTTCGGGCAGCAATGTGAATGAGAGGATCTGGTGATGAATAAGACAAAGATGAACTTAAGAGAGGTTAGCTGCTTGTTCAAGCAAAGATGGCTGTTAAAATGAAGAATTCATTGACAAACAAAACATATGTTAGTATGAAGAGCAGCTACTCAGCTATTTAACACCCACATGTTTGATTAACAGCCAATCACTGCATGAAATGACATGAGATCTGGATTCAATATGAAAAAAGCACTTTTCTAAAGGAAAAAAGATGCAGATGCCTCAAATGATGGAACAATAAAATACACCACTTTTGTTAGTGGTATTTATGTGCTGGGTTAAGATGGATGACTGATGTTGAAATATATCAAATCACCTTTGACATCCACAGTGTATTGGGCAGAGGCATCAGCTATCTCACCAATCCCGTCACCATAGTGACACTGCTCTGCTGTTTGGACAAAGCCAAAAAGAAAACAATGAGCTGGGTGATAGCTTCACGTATGTCACCAAATAATTGATTCTGAATTGTGCAGGTACCATGTGGAACACCACCTTTCAAGTGAACATTGAACTGTGCATCAGCAGATATTTCACAACCAAACCTCCCCCCACCAGACAAGCCATGTAACTGGAGGGGCACTGTTTGGCTGTCTTTCTGTGATTCACAGTCAGCATCCCTTTTTGGGTAGATCTGGGTTCCATCTTTGAACCAACAGGCTTTGGCAATGGGATCAGAAATCTCAAATTGTTGAACAATTTGGCCGTCCACTTCAGCAGACTCTGTCTTCTCAACATCTGGATCAAGCAGATATGTCGGAGGTGACAATACAGACAATCATTTGAGGGATAATTTCAGTGTACATCATTCTAGATGTTAAAAACGTGACTTCAAAGTGATATTGTCAAATCTTTCCCAGATATTAGCACTGCATTCAAACATAGGACAAACAAAAAGCTACACAAAGAGTTAGTCATAACTAAAATTGAAAACACATTTGCAAAATCACCTTGATTGTTTACTATTAATTGGGCAACATCATCTGCTGTTGCACAATAGTATGTTCCAGAGTTTGAAGGATGAGTTGGTTCAATAACAAGGGTCTTCTTGATGCTTCCCATTTCTAAATCAGGCTCATTTTTAGAATCATGTTCTTTGTCCCTCTGCCAAGACTCCAGTAAAGGCGTTTCTGAGGTTTCACATGTTGGTTCAGATGGGCTGGTTGCTTCAAGTGACTGTGTCTCCACAACATCTGGTGAGGGCGCCAACCGCAACGTTGGAGCTGAAGATGATGATTCATATTATAATTGACAGTGCATATTAACACTCTGATAAAGAAAGGGGTTATGGGTTCAGCTTTCCCAAACAGGGAACCAAAGTGTCAAGGAATACAGAGATATGTTCATTTTGTCAGTAGCAGTTAATTTAACCATGTGTTAAGAAACTGTTACAACTTCACACAAAACACTACAAAACACAGACAGACAGACAGACAGACAGACAGACAGACAGACAGACAGACAGACAGACACACAGACAGACAGACAGACAGACAGACAGACAGACAGACAGACAGACAGACAGACAGACAGACAGACAGACAGACAGACAGACAGGCAGACAGACAGACAGACAGACAGACAGACAGACAGACAGACAGACAGACAGACAGACAGACAGACAGACAGACAGACAGACAGACAGACAGACAGACATGCATTTAGTAAGTGTCAGGTGCATCTAGTCATCTAAACGCTCTATGATTTGCATTAAGATTGAATCAATTTAAATTAAAATCACCTTTGATATCCACAGTGAAGTGAAAAGTGTCATCACAGGTTTCACAGCTGTATAGCCCTGAGTGCAATAACTCAGCAGATGGGATAATGAGTTTCCTCAATGTGCCTTTACTCTGTATATCCCAATCATTTTGCAGGGAGAGTTTTACACCATCTTTATACCAGCAGACGGGCACAGTAGAGTCTGCAACCTCACATTCCAGCTCCAAATGTTTGCCCGCTTCAAGTGACTTGGTTCTCTCAACGTCAAAGATAGTAGAGTACGTCACTGGTATAGCTAGCATTGGGAATTCAGGACAGCTAAATAAAACCAAGACTGGGGAAATACCTTGCAAAAATGTGACTGCTGAGCAGAACAAAAGGGGATTTGGAGACTTCATTCAGAGTATAGCAGTCGCAAAACAAATGATTAAAACTAAAAATGACCTAGTCCATTAACAGTTCTTTAAGGTTATGTGCACAAAACAGTATTTCAAACCACATACAGTACAAGCGGGATAATTAGTTGCATCTAGAAAAAAGGATGTGGGGTTATAATATTAACGCACAAGATAAAAAGTGTAAAGTCACCTTTGATCTCCACTTGAAACTCCATGGTATCATCCTTTGTGGTGCATCTGTACACACCAGAGTTGCTCAGCTCTGCAGACTGAACAACTAATGTTCTTGTGTTGCCCTCTGACTGGATTTCTAATCCAGAGTTTGAAATGAGCTGAGTTTCATCCTTGTACCAGCAAACATGGGCCTCAGGATCCGACACCACACACTGGAGTACAATAGGGCAGCCTGCTTCGATCGACCTCGTCCTCATTTCTTCGGGAATTGCTGAGAACTTCACAGGTGGAGCTATAGATATGTTTAGATCTTAAGTCAACCTTATATCAACCTCATGACAGCCCTTAAGACTATTCATACTAATATATTCGATAACTAAATTGCTAACATGCTGTAATGCAGTCAAAGAAAAGGCGACAGCTTAGCTGCACTTCTTATGAGTGTTATGAAGAAAGACAATAGACAACATACAAAAGGGAATCGGAGTTAGTTGCTTTTGCTAAGGATGAGCCTGTTACTGTTTTACATTGCTTAAGGTACAACAAATCACCTTTGATGTCCACACTGAACGAGATGGTGTCACCCTTTGTCTTGCAGCAGTATAATCCAGAATGGAACAATTCTGCTGAATGGACAATCAGTTTTCTTGCCAAGCCTTCAGTTAGAATATCTACTCCAGTTTGAGGATGGAGCTTTGATCCATCTTTATACCAGTGCACTTGGGCAGAAGGATCTGAGAGCTCACAGCTTAAAACAATAGGGTAGCCGATTTCAATGGTTGTGTTCTTCTCACCATCTGGAACTGCTGAAAACCTCACAGGTGGGGCTATGGATATTTACATATTTCAATGGTTCATTCCGTTGTAAATGCCGTACCATTTGATACATCTGACTTAAAAGAAGACTAAATAATTGTTTTCAATAACAAACAAAAATGGGCATACAAATAAAGATGGTAAGTGAAAGACACCAGCATTGTAAAAAAATCTCATTCCACTCACCCTCTACTTCCACATTGAATCTGATGACGTCATCAATGGCATCACAGCAATACACTCCCGAATGTGAGAATTCTGCTGATTGGATGACAATTCTTCTCATGGTACCCTCGGATTGGATATGCAGACCCTCCATTGTTTGTAATTCCACCCCATTCTTGTACCAGTGGACTGGAACTGCAGGGTCTGACAGCTCACAGTAGAGCACAATGGGGTTTCCAATTTCTACAAATTTGTTTCGATCCATTTCTGACATTGGTGAAAACTTGACAAGTGGAGCTGCAAATGTTTTAAAAAACAATGACGTTTTGAGTCTTGTTATTTAGGACAATTAACAGAATGATACAGTACTTTAGTTTCGTTTCACATAGTTGATGCCAAACAATGTTTTCACATTTTTCAAAAGAAAAAACGGAATACATCTGAGGTGTTGCATAATACATACTTATGAACAAATTATGACAGTGACCCATACATACCTTGAATGTACAATGCAGCAGAATCCCGAATGCTATAGGCAATAAATGTGATCTCAGCTCCATTGTCTGTATCACGTACTCCTCGAATGCGAAGAGATTGGTGTGTTCGTGAACGACGCATGGAATATCGTTCATCTTCCGGAAGCTGAGAGCCATTTAAGAACCATGTCCCGATTACTGAAGCAGAGAGCTCAATAGAGAAGAGGGCATCTTGTCCCTCGGGCACCAAGGCATCCTGTAAGGGAGCTTGGATTCTGGCAACTGGAACTGGAAAGAGAATCATGTTTATACATGATTTTAGCAAGCAATATCAATAAACAATGTGATGAATTCACTTAAGCAATTACCCAAATGAACAGCTCTAGGGAATTCCACAGTGTTACTCTTCCCATATTTGTTTACACTGCAGATGCGAAATTGATAATCGGCTTCACATGGTACACTGTCACCAAGGATCTCCACAGAGGTTGCAGAGTCAGTGGTCAGGCACTGTAACCACTCCTGTGAACCAGTGCCCACTTCCTGTCGATCAAGTACATATCCAGATGGAGGGTTCTTTCGGGAGTCTTGAGGAGGAACCCATGAGAGAAGAGCTGCATTGGCACGCTCTGTGTTGATCTGCACACTCACTGGACAACTGGGTGGGCAATGTCTTGCCTCTGAAAAAGAAGAAAACCCATGCTACATCAATGTCTTCTTGGACTGGAATAACTGATGAATGTTGATTAATACCAAAACTAATTAATCAATCTAAATATTTGTTTTGCAAATACTGTATTTGGAATTTTGTAATACCCTACCTTTCACTCTTAGCTGAGAGGATGTCTTGGATCTGCCTACAAGGAAAGTCACAAGGCCAGAGTCTTGGGGCATTGTATTGACAAAAACCAGGATGTGAGTTCGACCAAAGGACTTAAGGATGGTCTGATGTGTCTCACGTAGCTCTAGGGCATCTTTGTACCAATGTATGTCCATTTCTTCATTCTCCACTTCAACACAAAAGGCAGCATTTTCGCCTTCCAATACATCCACTTTTCTTGGAAGCTTCCGCAAAATTGTCCCTGCAAGAAAACACGTAGAAAGTGAGTGACTTCTTAGCATATTAACATATATAGGATATTGGTTACACTACAAACAAAACAACAATATACTGTATGTCATTTGACTGTCGGAACAACACATCGTCGGGACATCATTTTTAAGTGATTCCCAAAATCATCTTGAATCGGCATTGTTAAAAACAACTTTAAATAGTTAATATAAAGTGACCTTCATTATCATGGTTAAATAAGAAACTACTGTGTTAGGGTTCAGGAATGATTTTGGTCATAGTTAAAAGAAACACTGTTGACATGTCTTTTGACATGTCTAACAACTTTCATCTCCTCTACTTTGCTGCACAGTTTCTCACTTGAACATACACATTTGTTGTTTCCTAAACAACTGATGCCGTCATTTTTCTTGGAAGAAGAGTCATAATTGACTTGGACCTTTTTAATATAGTGTTTGCTAAATGGCACTGTTTAAAACAAGCATTAAATGTAACACCAAACACACAATGAGTGGTTCCCCAAGTTACCTGACAAAAATTAAGACACAGACTTTATGTTCACTGCCAATCAGAGCCGTCCCGACCCATTAAGCGACATAAGCGGCCGCTTAGGGCCCCGCAGCCACTAAGGGGCCCCCAAGCAAAAAATAAATAAATGAAAAAAATAAATAAATCTCAGTACACCGTCGCCGTGATAAGTATGTTTAATTAATTTTGTTAATATGCCTTGATTGCCTAATCTCAAAGTCATGTATTATATTATTGAGTCAATAATATAATACATTAACCGTGCTTTACCTGAACCTCATCATGACACAAGAGAGGACAGCAGGATTGTAATTTCCCGTGTTCAGTGAATGCAACAGAAGCAAGACACCAGACCAACCTGAGAGTTGAATGGAAATAAACATGTCTTATTGGCTGACAGGTACCTATCCTGTGAGCTGTGACAATGTTTAAAATAAACTGTCAGTCGGACTCAGAGTTTTTGAAGATGGCATAAGAACACTTTTTCTTAAAAAAGACGAAAATTATCAAGTGGTGTCTCACACAACAACCCCAGAGCCACAGGTAAAAAATGTCAGTCAACTTCCAAGTTATGCGAACATGTAAGCAAAGCATAAATTACAGCTACGTTGACGTAACTTTGAATCGCGGGGGTAAGCTAAACCGTTAACAAGTAGCTATAGCTAGCCAGATATATTAAATAAACACTTTGTCATACACAGAGTTGGGTGTAACGCGTTACAAAGTAACGCATTACTGTTTTTTTATTTGCAGCAGTAAATGTGACTGTTTGGCCACTGACGTTGCCATAACAATGCCTGCATTTAAAAGTGCAACCTCTTTTTGTGACAGATTTTTGCAAGAAATTATAATTCTTCTGAATGATATTCCTATTGACAGCTAGTTTCTATGTGAACATTATGAGATGGACAGCCAGAGAGAATAAATGAAAAACAGTTATGAAATACTATATGACAAAACAAGAAAACAGCTTAAAAGGGGAGTGATTTGTAAAATATCCATAAAGAAAAATCTGTTTACAGTTCTGTTTCATATGGGTGTTGAGAGATGTATCCATAGATCCCTTAATGTTGCTCTCAAAGTGCACCAGATTGATGCTTTTAACTTCAATATTTAAAAAAAAAATCTTCCCGGGGGAGCATGCCCCCGGACACCCCTATAGGAGGTGAGGACCCCCTAGACGAGGTTAGGTCCACGGTGTTTACATGCTTATTTATACAATATGTGTGCTTATGCTAACATCATAAGACAAAAGTTGGTTCCGTGTTGTGTGTAGTGAGAATGCGCTAGAGTGAGGGGGGCCCCCAAGCCAAAGCTCGCTTAGGGCCCCCAAAAGTCTAGGGCCGGCCCTGCTGCCAATACAATTGTCATCTTAAAATATGTACTTTGTCTCTTAGGTGCAAGACAAGCTAGGAGGAGGGAGATAAAAGGAATGAAACTGGATAACTGGAGGGTAGTGCAGGTTTTTTGTCCCAGAACTGATAAACTTTGTTTCTGATCATCCTAAGAATACATGTAACTGTCTCCTAAAAACAATATCGTAAAGTACCACAGTTATTTGATTTTATCAACCTGATTTACCTTTTACTGCTACCTCTGCAATGCTTCTGCCCCCATCTGGCATCTCACAGAGGTAGATCCCATCATCGTCAACATCAATGTCACGGATAGTTAGTCGCCGTTTTGTTCCCCACTCCTCCATTCCATATTTGGCCCCTGGCTGCAGTCGTCTATCCTCCAGATACCATGTGATGGAAACAGAGTCCTCTGGAACTTCACACTCGAGAACAGCCAAATCTCGTTCCCATACTTCTAGATCAATGAGAGGCTGCTTAAACCTCACAGGCGGCTCTGTCAACAAAAAGGAGGAAACAAACGTTTTAATAGGCTTATATCACATCTCCTAATTAAAAATGTGAAAAAAAAGGAAATCTAGTTTAAGATGTTCCTATTTACTTCTAATCATAAAGACACATTTGTGTTACTTGATCTTTATAAATTCCTCAGGTAAGACGACCCTCCGAAAACACAGCACATCATCTATGCGCTTTTAGTTCAGTGTAAATTTAAATATAATTGGCAGTAAATTCCAATGAAGCAAACACAATTGGCAAAATCATGAGACAAGTGGCTCATTTAGTTGAGGAATGATAAGGTCATTAACACATAGGGTGTTAGATAGGAAATAAAGTGTTTGTCACCGACACCACCAGACGGTACCAGACAGTTGTAAACAGAATGTGGACTGTATTTAGTAGTCTGTGTGGAAAGCGCTACATTTTCTCAATGATTTAGTCTAATCAAACACATAGACAATAAATACATTGCCTTCAAATCTACTCACTAACCACCACTGATATCCTTTCCCAATATTAAAGTGTATGTCTGACTGACACAGTACAATACTCTCTGTTGGTGCCATGAGTTTGGACTTCTCTGGCCATGTGAGAAACATGATCCCCTTCCCAAAGACTTCGATCACATGGACGCACCCCTTTCAAAAGCTAAGTGGCATTGCAGACATCATACTGCCTTTGGAATCCACCTCAAGCTGATGAACTTTGCCTGTTTAGATATTTCCCAGGTTGAATTTCATATTATTATTACTCCACTGAACCAGGATTGAATTACATTTACGCAGTTGGATATTATTTTACCACTGATTATGTGAAGCTCACTGGCCTGCGGATCTGCATTTTTTTTTTGTGTGGCTCAACTGGATGACAATACCAGCCATATACTTCACATTTCTCTTATCATTATCAGTAGAAAAAAATAGCAGTTTTTTAAAGCATCACATTACCGCCATAAAACATTTTCAGCATTTCATTTTGCCTTCTCTGTCTGGCCCTACCCCAATAAATGATCTCAGAGTACATCTTTGGAGATATCTCACTGACATCATTCTAGCATCACATGGATAGAAATCTGATCCAAGAACACACCACACCCTCCCTCACTCCTTTACTCATGCAGCTTTTAAGTTTGCCTACATTAAAAAAGATTCTAACTTAATGAAAATGATCTTGACTTACCCTTTACAGAGAGATGTACGGCACTGAGGGTTTGCCCGGCAGTATTTGATGCAGCACAAACATAAACTCCATTATCCTTCTGCTTACAGTACAGAACCTTAAGTGTGAAGTATCCTTCTCTGTCCTCGTATAACAAATAACGCCTTCCAGACAGTATCAGTCTGCCGTCTTTCCTCCAAATGATTTCTGGTTTGGGTTTCCCAGTCACAAAGCAGCGAAATTTGGCATGTTTACCCTCTGTCACTGCAAACATTTTGACTTTAGTTGACATTGTGTCGTCTTTGAGCCGGTTTGGCAATTGTCTCCTCTGTTTTCCTTGGTGAGCTTTCCAGTGGCCATTTGTGTAGCTATTTCGATTTCCCTCGTCCTCATGTCCTGGGCCTGCATCAACCAGCAACACAGCTCCTGCCAACGCTTCTCCAAACTCATTCCTGGCTTTGCACGTATATACACCACCGTCTGGAGCGCGAGTCTTAAAGATCTTGAGCTGGAACCATCCACCGTCCTGGAAGCCCACACTGAAATGTGTGCTTTCAAATATTTCATTGAGTTTTCTCCCATCCTTTTCCCAGACAACGTCTGGTCGTGGGTTTCCCCAGAGCTTACAAGAGAAAACTGCATCTTCCCCACGGCCGGCGCGAGTAGAGAGGGGCTTGATGAGGAATCGTGGCTTATTTTCCTCTCGTAACTCCAATTCTTGTGCTTCACCCTCCACCTTTAATGTGGCCGCTGCATATGTTTCCCCAATGCTGTTCTTTGCTTTGCATATGTACTGACCACTATCCTCTATGGTTACAGCTGAAATGATGAGATTGTAAACATTTCCGTCCTCAAATATCCTGTATCGCCCCTGTGGTTCAATCTTTTCATTGTTTCTCTCCCAGATGACTGCAGGCCTTGGATCACCACCAATTTGACACTTTAGGACTGCATCAGTTCCAGTTTGGACCACAACAGGTCTTGGATAGGCGAAGAAACGCGGTGCACCGCCAAATACATCCATTTCTACTTTGTTGTCAGCTTTACTACGCCTTTAGCAGTCCAGGTGAGTAATAGGTGGTAGTTATTCTCTGGGGGAAGACGGTCCAACTTTTGCACTGCACATTTCTAAAAAAAAAGAAATAACAGATGGGTTACTTTAATATCGAAGGGCTCATGAGATTTAAATGAGAAAATGTAAACAATAAAACTAAATTGTAATTTGTTTTAGAAATGTAACTATAATTCAACGGTATGATTAATCGGATAAAGTATGCAATACAGTTATACTTTGAGACTTCCTGTATAAAGAAAATTAACCCTAATGGACAACCCCTGAGCCTCCTTTACGAGCATCTGTTTCAGTGCAAACGGATGGTATGAATATTAGGGCTAATTGAATTAGATCTGTCTGCATGAGAGAAAAACATAGACGAGCAGTGAGAGGGGGGAAAGCCTAGTCCTATTGCAACAGCAGCCACAACACATAGCAAGTACAGCTGGTGCTGTATTTCAATGGGAACGTGCTTAATATAGTATGCCCTAAATAAAGACCTGCGATGGAGTGTGTGTCAGGTATCACAAAGAAGGTTCTGAAACCCGCATGCTCACACAAACACAGGCCGAAATGACAGTCTACCACCCCAGAGGCCTTGTAGCCAAAATATGTTGAGCATATGTCACTGTTAAAATGATCTTAATTAAAAAAATATTAAAATGTTAACACTGAAGTTCAAAGATACATTTCTTTAAAAGACCCCTAATCACATTTATGTTGACAGCTATTTCTGTCCTCATATTTAAAAAAATAAATATAATTTAGAAAATCCTACTGTCAGGTAAGAAGGCTTCCTGTTGACTATTGTGTAATCTCAATTTGAAAGTTTCCTTGGAGAGCCTCTCAACTTGGAAAAATATAAGTAAACTGAGTTTTAGTGTTTTAGGACAGACCCCCTAGAGTGTTGTAACGTAGTCCTCTTGGATGCAGGGAACAAGGATTCAATTCTTTAAAAATGTAATCTTAGGATGTTTATGAAGCCACTTAATTGTTCATCGTATACTATTAAATTAAGTTTATTTTGAAGGATTTTTCACTTAAACAATATATTAATGTTCATTTGTTAATAAAATACGATTCTTATTCAAGTGAAACCACCCTACTCTTGGTCAAATAAATACTGGAAAATTGAGCAATAGTTTCTTGTATTTTTGACAATTATAAAGAACTGTCATATCATCTTTATGTGTTATGCATGCAGACTCAAAATGAAATAAAGCTATTATTTCTTTATAGTTTGTTCAGCTTACCCTAAACTTTGTAGGTATGTACAATATAGGTAACATTGAATTTAATATAGTATTGATTAACCTAACACCGTTTGTTAACTTAAAATTGAACTGAATATTGAAAACATTGTTTATCAATCTTGAATATTATATTCATCTTAATTCGATCTTTACAATTGCTACTTAAAAACAGTTTTTCACAGAGCAAACGGTTTAATTAGCACAGTTTAGACATTGTGTTGAAAGTGTCTTCAATATTCCCTCCGGAGGTTTAAAGAGAGGAGATTAACCCCTGTGTTTACTTGTCTGATTTAATTGGAATGACCTCTGCCCCTTGTGAAGCTGTGCCGTGTATCCCTCACATGACCTACCTCGCTTCAGTCGCCAGGAACGACCGTCAACATACATTCCTCACTTGCAATCTCTCTTCTAGGTAAGAAGCAATGCCACCTTTCTCCTGAAGGTTGAGTAATGTCCCAAGTTGACTTCAGATTCAGAAACATGCTCTCCTCAAGGGTCCCAAGTTGTACTCCAGGTCATCTTCATCGACGTGTGCCAGTAGGAGGAACAGAAAAGAGAACTTCAGTATACACACAAGCTTTCTGTTGAACAACTTCAGTGTTCCCCCAATCTCTGTCGTTGAAGCCTTAGACACCCCAAGTGTCATTGTTCGTGGAATACCGTTAAATGCTTTTGCAGCTGCTGCTGTCCCCTAAAAATACTGGCTGCCTCGATGACAGCAGTGAAGATAAGCCAGGCACTTCCATTCACTTGCCAGCAGGGGCTAAAGATAGTTCAGGTGGCCAGTGCATGGCAGGCTGCTTAGCTTACTTGAGGCTTTGCAATACATTCCAAGGAAAAAAACACACTTCTAGTCTCCAAATATTTTAAAGCTCATCTTTAATAAGTTTTCAACATTTGGTCAATCCATAAATTGTTCAAAATGTACATTGTCTAAAAGTGAGAAAAGTGAGAAAGCAAGTGTTTTTGAAACAGAGATTGTAAACTGGATAGATATGGCTGACCTTATGGTGCATTCTCATTAGGGTTGTAGATATTACCAGATACTGAAAAGCTCAGAAGAATAGCAAAAAAGCAGCCTCCTACAATTATCAGCTGATCTTGTTTCATGATTCTTGAAGACCATTTCTATATTTATTGGCATGTAAAGTTCCAAAATAAGTCCAGCCTCGTATAACTGATTAATTACGAGGAAAAACTCATTGGTGATTTTTCAAGGTTAATGTCGTGCCTAGAAGGATCTTTTTTTAATAAGCTGCAGTCAAGTTATTAAACCACTGAGTTTTAATCAAACCAAAGAGTTTATTGACAGTATGTAATGTATAGGGTCAAGGGGCCAACATGGGTTTTGTATTTCTCAATCCAGTATCAGTGTTATGCAGTATGACCTGACTTTTCCGTCTTTTGCCGGAGCCAACGGGCAGTGTTTGATCCTGTGCCTTGTGGTGAGGGGCTTGTACAACACGTGGACCTGGGTGTGAGTCTGTTGTGTGCGAGTGAGTCTCAGCGTGGGCTGCGGTGTCCCTTCAGCTGTTTAGTGGCTCCACAGCCCCACAGCCCCCTTTTCCTGATTTCAGCTGTTGGAAGTAATCCGATATAACTCAGACCCTGAAGCTGGTTATGAAACGTTTTGTGACAACGACTGAGCAACAACTTAAAGAGTTGTTATTTTCTCAGAACATTGCATATCCCGAACTAAAAACCAAATTCAAGCTATCATAAGAGCAGTAAATCATTGGACTTGGAAATGGTGTGAAGCTTTTAAATGTGAAAAGTGTCGACAGGATCAGCAAAACGACCTGGTTACGAACACTGTTCCATCAACAAAGACTCTGCCAAGTAAATACAGCGGGTTCAATCCGGCCACCAGGATCTGGACCATTTAGCAGCACAGTCTGTTGGAGCTTGTGAATTTATATGGAAGGGATCAATAAGTGTGTCAAGGTTGCTGGAAGAACAGAGGCAATATGACATGTTAGTGCTTTGCCATTCAAGATCTAACAATGCCAACATATTTCTATACTTCAAAAGTGTTTTGAAAGTCCGCTCAAACTGACCTATTCTATTTTGTATTTCTAAAGCCCGGTTGTCCATTTAAGAACAAAGTAATGAATTCATAGTTGGACTCTTCAACCAATTGAGGCAAGTATTCTTGTAAATATTAAAGGTGGGGTAGGTAATTTCAGAGAAACCAGCTCGAGTGCGCTAGAATTTGAAAATACACAACCGGAAAAAATCTGCCACTTCCTTACAGAGCCCCTCCTCCAACACACACGAACGCGCACATGACCAATGAGGGCACGAGATAAGTTTGTGCACAGATGGAAGGCTGACAGGCAGGTAGGCCATCCAGTTACTTTAGCCGGGCCTGCTCAGCTGATTGGTCTTGCTTTTTACAGTAGCTACTACGGCTTCCACAGATGACATTTTTTATGGATTTTCAAACTTACCTACCCCACCTTTAAGTTATATGTCAGATGAGTACTTTAAGGAAATATATATATATTTATAAAACGGACAAGTCAAATCAAGCAATCTGATTGGTTCTTAGCCGTGATATACTGATCGTATACCACGGGTAGAATTGTAAGTTACTTTTCACAACATGTCAGTATCCCTCCGCGCCTGAGAAAAATAGTATACAGTTGGTTTTCAAACTGGAACAAGAAAGCAGCGCAGAAGTAACGGGGCAGAAACCCTCCTTTTTACGCAGCGGTCCAGACATAGACATCAAACGGCAAAACATATTCAGTGTGCAGTTACTTTGGCATTAGGGCAGGGATATCTAGATACTTTCCAAGGTTTGACATAATGAATTGTGCTACTTTTAAAGCAAGCAACGATGTTTTCAAATCTGTAATCAAAGAGGTCCGCAAAAACGCTATCGACCAATCAGATTGCTTGATTTGACTTGTCAGTTTTATAAATATATTTACATTTATTCCGTTACGAAACAAACTTACAAAGCATAAGATGGAAACATTTAAGATTAACTTCAACCTCCGGGGGGGTCTTACTATGGAGGAGTGGATTGAGCAGTGCCTATCTCCAGAAAAAAAAAGCACCTAAACGACGACATGCAGAGCTACGTGAAGAGCAGGTAGACCAACTGGAAAAGTACCACCATTCAAAAGCACAGACCCTTTTTACAAGGTTTAATCAATAACGTTTATATGAGGTATCCATATTATTTCATGCTTTTCTAGCTTTCCTATCATTTTGTATTTCAAGTTATCAATTAGTATATATATTGACTACATCATTTATCAATAAATAAGTTGTAATGTTACTTTTAATACCCTATGATCATGTACTGTAGGCCTACTGTAAGTCTTCCGGCATCCTGTAGGAAAGGACATAACCATTAGCATGACTACAGCTGTGACACATTGCTCCTCAGATGATAATAACTGAAGTTATGTTTTCATTATAGAGCTACAGTTGGCAATATATAATATTGGAAAGAGTCCCGCCTTGCAACATAGCATTTAACTGAAAATGTTGCCTTTCTTTTCCCTGACATTGGAATGTGAGCTAGGTAGACCTCCACAGATCTGAGGACTTGTTCAGACAGCAGCCTGCACACAGAGCCGCTAATGCAGCATGGAGCCAGAGCACTTAAACCAACACCTCCACCTGTGAGGCCAAACTCACCTTACTCACTCCAAGGATATAACTGGTTCATTTAAGTACAGTTACATTGTTGAAACCACGTGTTAAATTACCAGTACACAAACAGTACATGTCAGTGCTTCTGCGTAGAACTGCGGCATCAAGTCGTTTTTGTGGTTTGTGGCAAACAACTGAGATTAATATATATAACAGTGCTTACTTTTAGCTTCGTCCTCTTTTTCTTTCTGTCCTGGTTAGGTGTATCTGACCTAAAAACATTCAAATCCATCTGAAAGACTAACAACACACTTTTTCAGGATTTTTAACAAGGTGGGGTTTTAGCATAATTATTGCTGTTATTTTTTTCAGCATCACAAACTCCACACAGATGCGGGAAGACGTGACACAGAGAGATACAACCAAGTTCCCTCAACAGTGTATACTGTAGTGGGACAGCAGTGCATTTACAAATCATAAAAGACTAAGCAAATGTTTCCTCTGCAGAAAAGAACACCATCTGCGCCTTCTGGTGGTCACCTTGTGTAAGTGCAACTTGCCACAGCAGATATTTATGCTTTTCTGGGCAAATACTAAAAACAATGCTCCTACACTTCTCACTTATTGTTTGCAACTTTTTTATTGTGCATATTTTTTGATATATTTTTCTCATACATTTTTGCTAACATCATTTACATTCTGCATTTGAGTTGCTTAGTGGGTTATCTTACAGGAAATGATGTTACAGGTTTGATTGTTTACTGATGTTGCATGTTTAGCTCTGCTAGTACAATCATACATAACAATAGCATAGAAGTCCATGTTTTACATTGCTAAAGAAACCTCTTCCTGATGAAGGCCTCACCTTTCTCTTACCTCTCAGCAAGATAAAGCAGAGTAAATAAGGCTGCACTGAAACCACACGTGGTCATTATCTTGTCAAGTCCGTTCTTGTGAGCACACTACAGCTTGAGAGGGTATTGACTGTGTAAACTTTGTATGAATAACAGAAGACTTTCCGGTGGAAAAGTCATGTTTGCACAGCTCAGGTATAGTTTTTCACCTATTCACATCCTCTCCAGCTTCTGACAGTGGAGGGGCATAACCCCGGGTGTGTCAGGTTTGTCACCAGAGACACGAGCTGTCTGTTCTCTCGTCTCATCAATGTGAGAACCAAAGGAAAGAGGCTGAAATATTTCCCTTCATACCCTTACCTGAGACATTATGGGAAAAACTACTAGCAACACTATAGTAATGTTAAGACATTTTTGATGGGTAGGTGAACTAAATATGGTGACACATTATTATTGAAGCCATGTTATGATATTTGTACTTTAGAGATTAAGGTACAACAATGCCCTCTTCCCGCAGATTTGTGTTATGCCGGCAAAACTTAAACATCCGGCTTCAAAGCAAGGGACAATCTTGCCTTTACCAATCTTCATTTCTATAAGAAATTGCATATTTGAGCTAACTAACTGTTGAATGAGACTCACCTGTCAGTTGTTGTATCCATCTATTCATCAGCTTGTTTTATTTATTTTTCTTGTGTCTAAAATGATACCATACAGTAGTTTTACAGCAAAAGAACATACTATGATATATTTTTATTTTAATAAACATCTAGGAATTCCGTATGGTTGACGAGTTTGTTTCGAATTTTTGGTGTACCTTTTTTTTCTTGTTTCTATTTTGCTGAATTTTCTTTACCTGTTCCATTGTGATTGTTTGATTGAGTTTTCCCCAAAAAGAAATAAAAACGGAAATACTGGACCTGTGAGTCATGTTTGACCTCACATAAATGTAATATGCTAATAATACATGCTATAAAACATTTTTCCTATTCATTTCATTCATATAATTTGAATTCATATCAATTTACTTTTCTTAGTCAAAACTAAACATGGAAC